ACTACTATACACAACTACACTATGTACTAATATACAAAACTACACTATACACTACTATACACAACTACACTATACACTACAATACTATACACTACTATACACTACACTATATATGACTATACACTACGCTATACACTACACTATATACTACACTACACAACTACACTATACACTACACTATGTACTACTATACACAACTACACTATACACTACTATACACAACTACACTATACACTACAATACCATACACTATGCACAACTACACTATACACTACACTATATACTACACTATACACTACAATACTATACACTACTATACACTACACTATATACTACACTATACACTACACTATACACTACACTATATACTACACTACACAACTACACTATACACTACACTAAGTACTACTATACACAACTACACTATACACTACACTATATACTACACTATACACTACACTATATACTACTATACACAACTACACTATACACTACACTATATACTACTATACACAACTACACTATACACTACACTATATACTACTTTACACAACTACACTATACACTACACTATACACTACACTATATACGCTATTCTACACTGTACACTATATACACTACACTATATACTACTATACACAACTACACTATACTATATATACTACACAATACACTACATTATATACACTATACACTACACTATATACTACACTATACACTACACTATATACACTATACACTACACTATACACTACACTATACACACTATACACTACACTATATACTACACTATACACTACACTATATACTACACTATACACTACACACTACACCATACACTATATACACTATACACTACACTATATACACTATACACTACACTATATAATACACTATATACTACACTATACACTACACTATACGCTATATACACTACACTATATACACTATACACTACACTATATACTACACTATACACTACACTATACACTACACTACATACTACACTATATACTACACTATACACTACAATACTATACACTACTATACACTACACTATATACACTGTACACTACACTATATACTACACTATATACACTATACTATATACTACTATACATTACACTATACACTACACTATACACTACACTATATACACTATACACTACACTATACACTACACTATACACTACACTATACACTACACTATACACTACACTATACACACTATACACTACACTATACACTACACTATATACACTATACACTACACTATATACACTACACTATATACACTACACTCTATACACTATACATTACACTATACACTACACTATATACACTACACACTACACTATATACACTACACTATATACACTATACACTACACTATACACACTATACACTACACTATACACTACACTATATACACTACACTATATACACTACACTATATACACTACACTCTATACACTATACACTACACTATACACTACACTACACTATATACACTACACACTACACCAGGGGTCGGGAACCTATGGCTCGCGAGCCAGATGTGGCTCTTTTGATGATTGCATATGGCTCGCAGATAAAACAAAATATTCTCACTTGTTTTAATCCATCCATCGATTTTTCACTGCGCATGTCCTGTTCAGGGCTGCAGGAGCAATTGTCCATTATTTTAATTGGATGATACTGGCCTACGTTTGCCGTTGCTGGGTAAAACAGGTAAACGCCCCCTTTTGAATCAGTCTGAGACTGCGTCTGCTCGGTCATTAGCTCAAAGCTAACCCTTCGACGAAGAAGATGGCGAAAAGAAAAAAAGACGACGAGTATCGTACATTTCAGGACGAATGGACCGAAGAATTCGCCTTTGTGGAGAGAGCGGGTTCTGTGGTGTGTCTAATTTGCAATGACAAAATTACATCGTTGAAACGGTCGAATGTAAAGCGGCACTTCGACACGCGCCACGCTACCTTTGCATCAAAATACCCTGCGGGAGACAGCAGAAAGAAAGCGTGCCAAGAGCTTCTGAGCAGGGTGCAAGCTAGCCAGCAGCAACTCCGCGTATGGACCCGGCAAGGTGACTATAATTCGGCTAGCTTTGCTGGTTCTTTAGCAATAGTGAGGAACGGAAAACCATTCACAGATGGCGAGTATGCTAAAACGTTCATGCTGGATGTAGCCAATGAACTTTTTGATGATCTTCCGAACAAAGACAAGATAATCAAACGGATACAAGACATGCCTCTGTCGGCAAGAACTGTTCATGATCGTACCATCGTGATGGCAAACAAAGTGGAGGAAACGCAAGTGAAGGACATAAATGCAGCGCCGTTCTTTTCTCTGGCTTTGGATGAGTCAACAGACGTGAGCCATTTGTCGCAGTTCAGCGTGATTGCAAGATATGCTGTTGGTGACACACTGCGCGAAGAAAGTCTTGCTGTTTTGCCATTAAAAGGGTCCACAAGAGGTGAGGATTTATTCAAGTCTTTCATGGAGTTTGCTCAAGAAAAAAGTCTACCTATGGATAAACTTCTCTCAGTGTGTACTGATGGTGCTCCGTGTATGGTGGGGAAAAACAAAGGATTTGTGGCGCTTCTCCGTGAACATGAAAATAGACCCATCCTAAGTTTCCATTGCATTATACACCAGGAGGCACTTTGTGCTCAGATGTGTGACAGGCAGTTTGGCGAAGTGATGTCGCTGGTCATTCGTGTGATCAACTTTATTGTTGCCCGAGCCTTAAATGATCGCCAGTTTAAAACACTGCTGGATGAAGTTGTAAATAACTATCCTGGTCTGCTTTTGCACAGCAATGTGCGTTGGTTGTCAAGAGGGAAGGTGCTTAGCCGTTTTGCGGCTTGCCTGAACGAAATCCGGACTTTCCTTGAAATGAAAGGCGTCGGGCATCCTGAGCTAGCCGACACCGAGTGGCTCCTCAAGTTTTACTATCTCGTAGATCTGACTGAACATCTGAACCAGCTCAACGTGAAAATGCAAGGCATTGGAAATACAGTGTTATCCCTTCAACAAGCTGTATTTGCTTTTGAAAACAAGCTGGAGCTTTTCATCACGGATCTTGAAACAGGTCGTTTACTACATTTTGAAAAACTGAGCCAATTTAAAGATGCATGCACAGCAAGTGAGCCCATTGAAAACCTTGATCTCCACCAGCTAGCTGGCTGCACATCCAGTCTCCTACAGTCCTTCAAAGCACGCTTTGGAGAATTTCGTGAGCACACTCGTCTTTTTAAGTTCATCACCCATCCAAACGAGTGTTCACTGAACACAGCCGACCTGAATTACATCCCTGGTGTCTCCGTCAGAGATTTTGAAGCAGAAGTGGCTGACCTGAAGGCCTCAGACATGTGGGTGAATAAGTTCAAGTCACTGAATGAAGATTTGGAAAGAATCACACGACAGAAAGTGGAGTTGGCGAGCAAGCACATGTGGACAGAAATGAAAAAACTCCAACCCGAAGACCAGCTGATTCTCAAAACTTGGAACGCGCTTCCTGTCACATACCACACACTGCAGCGTGAGTATTGCTGTATTGACCATGTTTGGATCTACGTATGCATGTGAGCAGTCATTCTCACATCTTAAAAACATCAAGTCCAACCTACGATCACGTTTAACGGATGAAAGCCTCAACGCTTGCATGAAGCTTAACCTCACCAAGTACCAACCCGACTACAAAGTACCAACCCGACTACAAAGACATCAGCAAATCCATGCAGCACCAGAAGTCGCATTAATGGTGAGTGTTATAACAACATTATTTAAAAGAATAAATTCAGAGGCTTATTATACTGACATTTAGTTGAATTCACTTTTAAAATATATTATATGGCTCTCACTGAAATAAATTTCCAAATGTTTTGCTTTCATGGCTCTCTTAGTCAAAAAGGTTCCCGACCCCTGCACTACACTATATACACTATACACTACACTATATACACTATACACTACACTATACACAGACTCGAGCTCTGGCCAACCGAGCGACGTCGTCCCACCGCCAGCAGCGTGGCCCGGTGCCGTCAGCGAAGGTCTCCGCATTGGTGGAACGTGAACCCAAATAAACGTAGATGGCTTTATACTTTGATCACTTCCTGTCACTCTATATTTGTCTTACATCAACCACCACCGCCGCCAGAAGATATTCTTCTTAGTCAACAAAAAGATCCCCCCTCTTTTTATCGGCCTTTATTATGGACCGACTTTTGGGGCAAGTTACCTGTTAAGGTTGGTACTCTCGCACCGCACCAGGTACTCATTCAGGGCTGAGCCCTGACCTAGGGGGGGGGGGGGGCTTAGGAAGTGATTCAGATAGTACTCCTTATAGGAGGCTCATGTTTTATTCACGGCCAGAAATCGAACTCGGGGCGTCCGGATTTAGAGCGCAGTGTGCTAACCACGGCACCACCGCTCCTCACAAAGACAAAGGTCCCCCACATTTAGCCTTAACAGACTGTAGGGGCAAGTGCTGTTAGCGAGCACCTATGAAGGCCGGCACGGCACACGAGGGGGTGGGTGGCCAACAACCACGCCCGGCCGCCTTTGTCTCCCCGGTGACGATGTTTACACACCGCACCAGGGTACTCATTTGAGGCTGAGTCGACCTAGGGGAGGCCCGGGACCGGTTCAGATAATCGTCGCCGGTGTTGGCCGTGAGCGGGAATCGAACCCGGGTCGCCAGGTTCGTAGCGCAGCGCGCTAACCGCTCCACCACCGCTCCCCACACACACATCATCGTGAGTCATGGTTAATCCACTGCTGGATGAAGGTTTCCCTTAGCCTCCGCCCGTCGCTCAACGATCCTGCGATGAAACAAATCCACCTGTATCGCTCCGTCTCCCCCGCTGTGCATCATCTCGGCAACACACGTGGGAGCTGATTGACACGAACACGACGTGTCGGTGGCTCTGCGAGTGTAGAATGTGAGAGGGAGTGAGACGGGTTTTTAGGGGGGGGGGAGCAAGCGGCGGCTGAGATTGTGCAATCATCAAAATCGCTGCTGCTACTGCTGCTGCCTGGCAACGGGTGAACACACGAGGTGGCCAAACAGACGCTACACAGCACCAGGGAGTATGTGATACATGCAGCCACTACACAGCACCAGGGGGTATGTGATACATGCAGCCACTACACAGCACCAGGGGGTATGTGATACATGCAGCCACTACACGGCACCAGGGAGTATGTGATACATGCAGCCACTACACGGCACCAGGGAGTATGTGATACATGCAGCCACTACACTACATCAGGGAGTATGTGATACATGCAGCCACTACACTACAGCAGGGAGTATGTGATACATGCAGCCACTACATGGCACCAGGAAGTATGTGATACAAGCATCCACTACACAGCACCAGGGGGTATGTGATACATGCAGCCACTACACTACATCAGGGAGTATGTGATACATGCAGCCACTACAACTACATCAGGGAGTATGTGATACATGCAGCCACTACATGGCACCAGGAAGTATGTGATACATGCAGCTACTACACAGCACCAGGGGGTATGTGATACATGCAGCTACTACATAACATCAGGGAGTATGTGATACATGCAGCCACTACACAGCACCAGGGGGTATGTGATACATGCAGCCACTACACAGCACCAGGGGGTATGTGATACATGCAGCCACTACACTACATCAGGGAGTATGTGATACATGCAGCTACTACATAACATCAGGGAGTATGTGATACATGCAGCCACTACACTACATCAGGGAGTATGTGATACATGCAGATACTACATAACATCAGGGAGTATGTGATACATGCAGCCACTACACAGCACCAGGGGGTATGTGATACATGTAGCCACTACACTACATCAGAGAGTATGTGATACATGCAGCCACTACACTACATCAGGGAGTATGTGATACATGCAGCTACTACATAACATCAGGGAGTATGTGATACATGCAGCCACGACACGGCACCAGGGAGTATGTGATACAGGCAGCCACTACACAGCACCAGGGGGTATGTGATACATGTAGCCACTACACTACATCAGAGAGTATGTGATACATGCAGCCACGACACGGCACCAGGGAGTATGTGATACATGCAGCTACTACATTACATCAGGGAGTATGTAATAAATGCAGCCACGACACGGCACCAGGGAGTATGTGATAAGTGTAGCCACTACACATCAACGGGGGGTACGTGATACGCATTAAATGTACACACGTCCGTACAGACACATCGTTAAAAATAATAATTGGGGTCATTCTGGAAATATATAATGAACTAAATGATAATGGTGGTCACAAGATATCCGGACCGCCCTGTACATTTTTTATTTATTTTTATATCCCATCAACAGCGTCGAATCCTGGACAAGACAATTGAATTCTGGACCGGTCTCGCCACACAAGCGGCTCATCAGCAGCAGAGTCTCTGCTCAACGCCGGTGAGCTGCTCGATTTGAAGAAGCAAATACCCCTCCCTCCCTCTTCCTTGATGATATGGGTCACATTTGGGGCTAATGTAATTATTATTATGGGTTGTGTAAGAAATACTTAATTTTGTTCATGTGGGGAGATACGAGATGTGTATGAAGGAAACGTTTGAGTTTAACACCGTAGACTTTCGCGACCAATATCATCCATAATACAGGATTTTTTTGGGTTAGATCGCGTAAATATAATAAATGTGTTGTTAAACCCGCCACCACCCGACACAGCCAATTAGTAAGGTTTGTCACGTAAACAAAACGTGCCAATTCGTTACTAGTACAGCACTAACCGGCGTGTTGGAGAGTAAATCCACAGCGCTTACAATCTGAGTACGACGTTTCGCCAGTAATTACAACGACAAAGATCCCCCGTATAGCCTTAACAGACTGTAGGGGCAAGTGCTGTTAGCGAGCACCTATGAAGGCCGGAACGGTACACGAGGGGGTGGGTGGCCAGCACCACGCCCGACCGCCTTTGTCTCCCCAGTGGCGATGTTTTTATCCACCGAACCAGGTACTCATTTGAGGCTGAGTCGAGCTAGGGGAGGCCCAGGACCGGTTCAGATAATCGTCACTGGTGTTGGCCGTGAGCGGGAATCGAACCCGGGTCGCCAGGTTCATAGCGCAGCGCGCTAACCGCTACACCACCGCTCCCCCACTTACAACGAGCAGGGGTTGTCACAAACAATGGCAGTGTCACGCAGGGTGACGTGCAGGGCGTCATAGACAATGTCAGAGTGTCACGCGTGATGTCACACAGGGTTGCCATGTACGAAGCGGGGCTATGCGAGACCCTGTGTCGCGTTTGCGAAGAATCTGGACTCAGCCCAAACCCCAGAGTTCGGGACTCCCTGCATTGCCTGGACCGGGACCAGATCACGTGACACACGCTTCTTATTCTTCTGCATCGCCATCGCCGCAATAATCATCAACAGTTTTTTTTTACGATCGTAGATTGTTCAACATCATCAATGAGTTTTGAATCGGTATTTTTTTCACGATCAGATTGTCAACCGTACTCCATTTCTGTGTCGCACATTATTGTACATCATCATCATCATCAAATAGTTTGTCGTCAATCGTCCATCAAGTTATTTTTGTGAATTAAATGTTCATTGGTTGGAACCACCACATCCAATAATTAATCGCTCATTTATCATCAATATCATAATAACCGCCATCATCTTTTCTATCTCCACCACGTCATCACCGTAACCCCGATCATTGTTACTTTCATTACAATCATAGTCACCACCACCATCATTATATCCACATCATCATCATCGATATTATAAGTACTATCATCATGACTACCACCATCAGCAGCATCATAACCACCCATACCACCACCGAAATTACTTCATCATCTTCTTCATAACCATTATCATAACTGTTACCACCACCCTCACTATCAAAACCACTTCACCATCATTACAATCATCATCATCGTAATCAATAATATTTCTTCCATCATCATTATCATCATCATGTGGGTTGCCACCTCTTCCACAGACCAAACGCAGACATTTCTCAGTCGGTCTAGGTCAAAGATAACCTTGCATAATATAGTTTTTTTTAGGTTAGATCGCGTACAGATTTAATGTGTCGTTAAACCCGCCACCACCCGACAGCCAATTAGCAAGGGTTGTCACGTAAACAGAACATGCCAATTCGTGACTAGTACAGCACACTTGTGTGTTGAGAAGAAAATCCACAACATTTACAATTTGAGTAGGACGTTGCACCAGTAATTTACAACTATCATCATCAGGCAGACAGCCAGATAAACGTGCAGTTACACTGCAATAAAGTTCAACACAATAGCAGCATCAGATCCTGGTACAAATAAATTCCTGTTACCCAAACATAGATGTCAATTCCCCGACTGGGTGGCAACTCTCATCGTCATCATCATTTCCATACTCATAACCAATATCGTGATCTTTACCAATATAACCATGACTCCATTATAGAGGTTTTCCGGTTAAATCACGAGATCGCCAGATCTGACCCAAAAACCTCTATTATGGAAATTGGTCGCGTTAAAGTAACCATGGCTACCACCACCGCCACCGCCACCATCATCCTAACAACCACCACCACCGCCATCATCACGAAACTCTGCCTCGACGTGAAAACCCGCTCCGCGCCCTCCCCGTAGGGGAAGGAGCTCGCCCTCAGGGCTGCTGGACCTCAGCGGCGGATTCCGCCCGGACGGGCTGGAGGCGTCCGTGCCGACGCGCGTCTCCGACGGGGACGTCCTCGCCTTGTGCCGGGTGTTCGCGTGCCTCCCGGGTCGCGTTGACGGTCAGCGCCTGCGCACCTCTTCGCGACGTCTCGGCGCTCGAGCGACGACACCGGGCACAGTGCCGGATTATCCTCGTAGCAAAAGTAGCTACATATGCTACGGGCCCTGCACTTTCGAGGTTCAGCGATTCTGCACTTGCTCTATTAATATAGTACTATACCGCCTTCAACTTTTACGAACGACTGGGTGTTTAAGGTTAGCGATTTGTCGTATTATCTGGCTGTACAGCAAATGAAAAAAATTACAATTACTTTACTGTGCAAGTTTAAAATTTGTGTTTAATTTATTTTATTTTATTCAGGGCCCCTTTATAACATATGCTACAAGCCCCGCACTAGCTTAATCCGGCACTGACCGGGCAACACAAATCGTCACTGTGAATTGTTCTCATTCTTGTTGTTGGCTCTATACCCATTTTCTGGCAATGACGCGGGTAGTCGAGGTGTTCAAAGAAGAAATAGGCACCTTCCGATTAGCACGGTTGGCTACGTGCGGTGCGAAAGAAGTTCAACATACTGGTACATACATATGTAATGACGACTTGACGCACATCTCTTGAGGTGGCACTTTATTGAAGACGCGTTCGCTTGACACCAGGCGGAGATCCCCACGGCAACAGCGCCGAGTCTCCCGCGCATCTCCTCCTTATATACCGACCGAGGCCACACCCCCCTTCTCGATCCTTCTCGCTGACTCTGGACCGCTCGCTCCACCGGCAGACTCCACCGTCCTCTTCTGTCTCCTGACCACGGCTCCCTTCTCGAACATTCCCGTAGCCACCTGTCCCTCCGCACCCACAACTTACACCCCTGTCATTACTTCCCGTGGCCACTAGTGCATTCGCACTGTAGGCTGACTCCCCCTGTCATTACTTCCCGTGGCCACTAGTGCATTCACACTGTAGGCTGACTCCCCTGTCATTACTTTCCGTGGCCACTAGTCCACCCACAGCGCATGTAGGCTCTATTGTCATTACAAAAACATACATCAGAGTCAGAATATTTATTTATACTGAAGGAATCCGATGAGCTATTAAGCTATTTTTCACAGATGTCCAGTAGTTTCACAGATGTTCAGTAATCTGCATTAGCCACGCATACTTGTGGCAAAAACATGCAAAAACGTTTCAACTTTGGATTTTCTGAATTTACAAAGTAACCTTAATTGTAACCACCTCCTCGGCTATGGAGTATCTCGAATGAGTGACCCCGCTGTTTCTAATACAGCAATCTGGAACATATTTAACACACTACAGCTATATATGTATACATATTTCAAATCACAGTAAAAGTAAGTGTCCATAACAGTACATCGTTTTTACTGTTATGGTATTAAAAAAAATCAAGTTAATTGGCGTCTACTTGCCTGTGCACAGATATTTAGGGATGCGGATGAAGTCTTTCATCCCCTGGTCCGTCGCGACTCGGTGGAGTTAGAATCAGACTGTCATTGTTCACCCAGCATCGTGCGAGCCCAGGGGTCAGCAACTAAAATAACCAGAAGCAGAAATTTTGTAGAATTCGGTACCATGTCTGCATGTTCAATTTCTTTCGCGCACCGTACGTAACCAACCGTGCTAATCGGAGGTCCGGGGGAAAGGATAACAAGTTTAACATCATCCATAATATAGTTTTTTTTTGCGTTCGGTCGCGTAAATATAATAAATGTGTTGTTAAACCCGCCACCACCCGACACAGCCAATTAGCAAGGTTTGTCACGTAAACAAAACGTGCCAATTCGTTACTAGTGCAGCACACCGGTGTGTTAGAGAGTAAATCCACAGCATTTCCAATCTGAGTACGACGTTTCACAAGTAATTACAACTATCTTCATCAGGCGACAGCCAGATTTGTGGAGAAATCCTCCTGTTTCATTCCTTAAATAGAGGGGTAGATGTGATGATGTCACTTGCGAGCCCTTCACGTGGGAAAGGGGGTGGGGGGGGAGGTTAATGAATGCGCATAAATGACAACGTTTATCCATTGTATCCAGGACAAGGAGCTAAACACGAAACCAAAATGCGAATACGAGAAGGGTGGTGGTCCGTAATGAACGACGTCGCGGTAGTGGTCCTTGAGGAGCTCCGTGGAGCCACAGGTTGCTGACCCCCTGCGCTCGCCACTGCACCCCAGGCCGCTCCTCACAGTCGCCCCAGGTGCCCTGTGTGTAGGACCTGAGGTCACCGATCCTCATCCGGGAGGAGGGGGACGACGACGTAGCAACGGGTGAGAGACGCGTGCAAGGATGAAGGAGCCGCAGTTTGACCGAGGCGGGCTACGAGGAGTGGCGCCCAAAGGTCGATGACCCAACTTAGAAGACCTCGAGCCAGACGGTGCATTATTATTCATCAAAGCTTGTGGCTTGGTGGCGTTGTGTGTGATGGCGCTGTGGATGATGCAGGCCTGAACTTGCGCTGTAATCTCATTGCGGACGATGGAGCCGAGGCGATAGCATCACTCCTGCAGGTACCAGTGCCTCATCTCTCCACGCCGTCAGTTACTCCCTGTCCTCTCGCCAACAACTTCGAGCAGAGGCACCGGGTGGCTGAAACACGGCAAGCTGGCACAGTGGGGTGCACAGGTGGTGTATCTTGCTAGTCATCTCAGCCAGTTAAACCTATGTCTGGGTCTGTCCATGGCTCACATCGGCATAAAGTAGTATTTGAACCTGTCCTGGGCCCTCCACTAGTTTGAGTGAATTAAAAATATAACAACAGTGGACAGACAAAGGCGGCCAGGTTTGGTGGTGGACACGCCACTCCTTCGGGTGCCGTGCCATCCTTAATAGGTGCTCGCTAAGGCCACTTGCCCCAACGGTCTGTACGGCCACGTAAGGGATCTTTGTATGTGTATGTGGGCTCAGGAGGAATCATGTTGGCTCACATCGCTGGATCTGTCTCTCAATGACATCGGACCACGTGGGGCCAGAGCCCTTGGACAAGTTCTGCAGGTGAGTTCACAGCTATATTAAGAGTGTCACATGTCTGCCTGCCTGAATTAACACCTGCCTGTTCTGTCTGAACATACGTCCGTATTTTTGAACGTACAACTGCCTGATCATATACCTGATTGAACACGCACCTGCCTGGAATATACATCTGTATGTCTCTATATGTGAACATACATCGGGACGTTTGTCTATTTGCTGGCTGAACATGCAGCTGTGTGTCCGTACACCTGTCCGATTGAACGAATAGCTGTCTCACTACCAGTCTGGACACGTGCACACGCACCCGTCTGTTTAAACACCTGTTTGTCAATGTATCTGTACACCTGTCCGTCTGAATATACTGTCGGTTAATTTATCCAAATATACAACTGCTTTGTCCAATTACCCTCTGCCTGGCTGCCACACAAGACAAGCCAAATATCCCCCGTGTAGCCTTAACAGACTGTTGGGGCAAGTGCTGTTAGCGAACACCTATGAAGGCCGGAACGGCACACGAGGGGATGGATGGCCAGCACCACGCCCGGCCGCCTTTGTCTCCCCCGTGGCGACGTTTACATCCCTCACCAGGTACTAATTTGAGTCTGAGTTGACCTAGGAGAGGCCCAGGACCGATTCCCATAATCGTTACCGGCGTTGGCCGTGAGCGGGAATCAAACTCGGGTCGCCGTGGTCGTAGCTCAGCGCGCTAACCACTGCGCCACCGCTCTCTCTCACGCGCACACACACACACAGACGAACCGTTCACTCATGAGCCTGAACCTCGCTGGGAACAAGGTGGGGGAGGAGGGCGGTGTGAGCCTGGCCACTGCCCTGCAGACCAACGTGGGCCTGCGATCCCTGGACCTGCACCACTGCGACCTGGTACGGCTTTGGCGACGCCGCACGGCCAGGGTTGGCAGCCGATATTTTGTGGGTTCATCGCATTTGCTTTCGGCGCATGTGTTCATTCGGACCACGTGATGGTAGGGGTTTTGTGTCGTCAGCACCCCCTCCACCACCCGAATTATCCACGCGCGTGAACGATTGTCACGCGCGCAAGCGGTCGTTGTTGTTCTCAGCTCTCGCCCGGTGAGCTGCTGAAGAACATTCCTCGCAGCCGCATCGAGGAACGACGATCCATACCTGTCAACCCCTTATCAGTTGCAGTGCCGGATTAGTTTCGTAGCAAAAGTAGCTACACATGCTACGGGCCCCGCACTTTCAAGGGCCCCGCGCTGAACGCTTTCAAGCTATCAATTCCGGTTGAGTGATTCTGCACTTGCTCTATTACTATAGTACTATACTGCCTTCAACTTTTACGAACGACTGGGTGTTTAAGGTTCGCGATTTGTCGTATTATCTGGCTGTATAGCAAATGAAAAAATACAATGACTTTGCTGTGCAAGTAAAAATTTTGCGTTTTCATATTTACGTTTTTTATGTAGGGCCCCTTTATAACACAAGCTACAGCCCCCGCAGTAGCTTTTTTCCGGCACTGATCAGTTGCCTACCTTATTGCAGACCTTATTGGTCACCCCGTGCCCCTTATAAATCTCACCGTTCATCCTACAAAGTCCCATCACAAGGGAGAAACACACGGACAATAAATATATTATTTTGCCCGTATTGAAACGGCTGTACGCCGGATGGACCTGAAAACTAAATTTCCCTGTACAAGAATATGGGGTAAACCGTATGGGTTGACAGCTCTGACAATCCCACGTTTCGCTTGGAACTACGTCAAGCACCGGCAGGAAAACCCAGGGAAGCCACAATAAACCGAAGCTCAGTGGGTCTTACTTGGTAAAATGAAACAAACAACATTTTACCCCGGTGAATTTAATCATGTCACGTACCATAGCATACTAGCGCCATCTATTGGCCAAAATTATATTTTTTACGTAATAATTTTTGGGAATCTTTATTTCACATCAGCCGCAACGAGAATTGTGTGCTTGTAAAGCGTTTGTTCTGAGTTGTTCTGAGATCCAAAACTAATCTTCTGCGATCCAACTACGGATCACGATCCACTTATTGGCCACCACTAACACGAAACTCTGTGATACTCTAAAGGGGGCATATTTGTCTTTGTTAACTTGCTGCTCAGGGTACGGACAGCATCATCGCCTTCTCAACGGCACTCAGCTATAACAGCAGCGTGGAGGAGCTCAACTTAAGCCGACCGCTGCTCTTCAGCTTGCAGGTGAGGGTTTGTACCCCGGTTCTGACCCCGAGCCCGATGCCGTTAATATCATACATGGGTTGCAAAGTGTTCCGTGTTAGTAAATATACATGTGGGTTGCTGTGTATAGCAGGGATTGATTTATTACCGAATATTTTCTGGGTCACGGGCAGACAGGAGGTGGTATGTGACTAGAAGCCATAACCACAGCCAGCGGTATATTGAATGCATAAATATTTTCCGGGTCACTGACCCAGACATATCCGGCTGATATGAAGCTCTGGAGGGGGGAGGGAGGTGGTTGATGCTCACAATGGCTGTGGCGCCAGAGCACATTGAACTGCTGAATGCCCAAGTTCTAATTTCAGTGCTCCCAGCTGAGATTTAATCGGATTATCATCTGTGTCGTGTCAGTGGCCTCTGATAACTGCACCCACCACGGAAGTCGTTGTGGGAGCATATATATACAGTACAACAATGGATATCACCGCACTGCTCTTGAGTACCCACCACGTGGCAATATAGTGCGGTTAGGATGTGTGAATGCCATTCACAGTAAGTGTTACAAATTATTATTGCCATTATTATTTCTGCGTGTGCACCATCTATAGGTACAAATCATTTGCCAAGACATCTGGCCAGCGTTGCAGAGCAGGATAAAAATACCGCTCTTTAGTCCCCTCTATCGGGGGCCCTTCTGCCAGCAGTGGCGTGAACAAGCAAATTGCAGGGCTGCACCTTTGTCACTTTTTTTTTCACACTGCCAGAGCGGCCTGAGAATAGTTTCGTTTCTCCCCTGACCCTGGTTATCAAAATTAGAATATTTTTTTTTAATACTGCAGGAGAAATCCTATGAGGCAATTTTTCAGAGATGTCCAGTAGGGGCGGGTAAGAACGTCACAACAACAAACAGTAAACAAACATGACAGTCGTGCAAAGCACAAGGAAGGTAAACAAATCACCCAAACACATACAAATAAAACGAAACCATCCCCATCCTACTAGGCAAAAACCCACTGAGGTATTAACTTATATTTCAGAAGCGACGTGGCCACACATGATATCTCAACAAAGTGGCCCCATCATTTGGACATTTTTAGCACCAAAATAATCGAAATAAATCTCAATGCATGGTTCGTCGCGTGTGCTGCGTGCGCGCGAATACAGGAGGAGACGACGGTGCACGTGGCGCGGATGCTGCGCGCGAACCGAGCCCTGCGCACGCTCCGTCTCGCCAAGCACGGCGTGCGAGACTTCGGCGCTCGGCGGCTGAGCGAGGCGCTCGCAAGCAACAGCTCGCTCACCCACCTCGACCTGAGCTGGTAAGGTAGCAATGGTGAAGTAGCGCTTGGTTTACCGGAGGAAGGCAGACGCCCAGCAAAGCCTCACCGAGCCCCGTGACTCTCTGTACAAAGGATTCTGCCGAGTTTTCACAGCAGGGGCACGATGATTGCTGTGTACTTTCAAATTGAGTAATTTTGCGGATAATTTGGGGATTTGGAAAAATTGGGACCTCGACACTGGCACACGATGAGATACTCTTGCTTATGAATCTTTAACATCCACTGTGAAACAGACGGTATTATCACGGTTATGACACCCACAGTAATAATTAGGGCGGACGCAGGATTCTAACCATGAACCTTTGCAATAAATGGTGAATGTCTGACCACTAGGCCACGTCACAGCCCCACCAGGGCTTAATTTCCCACTGACACCCGATAATAAAATGTGTAAATAATGAGAAATCCCATCATCATAAAAAAAATATCCATAATAAAGGTTTTTTTTTGTTGTGTCCGATCGCGTAAATATGTCGTTAAACCCGCCACCACCCGACACGGCGAAAGCAAAACGTGCCAATTAATTACTAACATCAGCCCACCAATCAATATTCATCCTAAATTCTCCATCTCCTAACCCCCCTTCTCCCTTTCCCCCGCCCGTATTTTTGTTTCACCTCCTTCCCCCCTCCCCACCCGACCCCAACGCGAACCCCGAACCCCGAACCCGGGTCCGCGGATTTACGTGAACGGCGCCCGTGCGCAGCAACCTGATGGCGCGGGACGGCGCGGCGAGCCTCGCGCTCCTGCTGAAGCAGGGCTCCTCCCTCCGCGTCCTCGACCTGGGGTTCAACCGCATCGGGGACGCAGGGGTCACGGCGCTCGCCAGGGCTGTCGGCAGCTCCGGTCGCTCTCCCCTGCACACGTGCGTGGCGGGCAGAGCTGGCTAGGGATTATACAACGATCAATATAACGAGGGAGGAAAAATCACGCGCGCCGCGTGGATTCTGTCACGCTTTCCAACGCGTGATTGTCCGCAAATGTTTGGACCTCTGAAGTATTTAATTAGCGATACTACTGCTAACCTTCCAAACTGCGTAACAAGATGACGACATCGTGGCGTGCGACATCATCTCCCTGGCTGAAGAGGCTTATCCATTTCGCGGTGTTTCTGTTATCGCCTAGTTTGGGGCAATGCTTCATCAATTTGCCCGATTTTCTACAGGGTATGTCCCTAATGGCAATAGTTGTGTTGCCTAATGGCAACACAACTATTAAACAAACAAAAAAAATGTTGGACCATCTTTACGAGAGTTATTGTGATCAAATGTTACAGACAGACGCTCAGACAGGCTCATCGCCTGGCTGCTTCTCTGCTTGTTTGTGGTTCCTTTGTGATTTGTAAATGCACATTACATGAACGACACGATATACATTTAAGCATTGTTACTATTATCCTTGTCTCAGGTCCTGTAAAGGGGTCCCTGAGGATTTCAGAAGTTCCGTAGTTCTGTGATATCATACATTCCGAATGGCTGTTGTACAAAAACAATTACAATTTGAATGTATAAATGGGCTAAATGTGACTGCATTCCAATATATCGTACTAATATGGGGGAGGAATGCGCATCCAGAGATTTTTATATATTGTATTTCAGGTAGATTCAAGATTGATCTGTAGTGCCATCTCCTGACCACAACGAGACCAAATCTACAACACCTGGTTATCCCCAGGAGAGCCTTCCCATCCAAGTCCGAAGCAGGCCCATCCGTGCTCGGCTTCCGAGATCTGACTCGGCCTAGTGGCGAATCCAAAAGTGACGATTGAGTCAATTGAAGATCCCAGCTTGGTTCCCTGAAAATTCGTATTTTCTTGAAATTTCCCTTGCTCATCTATAGTTTTGTTCTGGAGAGGAAAAAGAGCAAATTATTGACACCCCCCCCCACCCTTCCTTAGAAATGTCGGTCATATGACCTGCGTGCACTTTCTAAAACTGTGTGGATGAACCCCAGACCGCAGACCGAGATCCGTATCTCGTGTGCTTTGCAGACTGGTGCTTGTGAGCAACGGCGCCACGGGAGAAGGCCTCAGGGAGCTCGCCGTGGCCATGACCACCAACCGGACCCTGCGCTCCGTGCACATCTGGGGAAATAAGCTCGACAGGGTGGCGTGCCAGGTGCGGCGAAGCCAACGAAATGTTCCGGCACGGCCGGGGTAGTCCCAGGTTCACCGAGGCAAAGGGTGTTCCACCGTGTCCCGAAGAATTTGTGAAAGGTCACCATTTTTTTCGCAGTCAGAATACAGCATACTATTTGAACCCCGAGGTACAAACATAATAGCACAGTTAGAGCAATGCGACTACCAACTTGGGAAAATGACCCTTCCTCCCCAGGGCCAGAATACTATACTGTATATTCATTGGACCTCAGGGTAAAAATACTAGCGTTTAGATGAAGGGTTATGGTTAGGATTAGGGTTAGTCGTTAATAGAATTTAGTATTTAAGATACCATGGTCATAATTCTACAACGGTCAAAATAGTATCTCACGCTCGTTTAAAAGTTTCTGCTTTTGACTCACACGGCCAAAGAGTGGGGCTATCTGAGCAGTGGGCAAAGTTGGCAGATAAATGTGCAGGGCCTATGTGCAGTGGGTGGGTCCAACGTGTGGGCCAGTGATTGGACACAACATCCGTTAAACTGCAATTGTTGCATCGTGCGAGCCACGGCAACTCTTCCCCATCATGTGCAGGTGTTCGCAGAGCTCCTGAAGAGCGGGCGGCTGAAGGAGAGGCATGCGGACGTGAGCGCGTACGAGGTGGATGGACGCCCGTACCTGGCCCAGCTCCAGGTGAAGTCGCCCCTGCTGCGGATTGAGGTCGCGACCTCTTCTCCGACGTCGCCCCCATCATCGCCCCCATCATCGCCGTCAGCGTCGCCGCCGCCGTCGCCCTTGGCGTCCTCGCTCGACGAGTGGTGACGCCGTGATGGCGGAGGCTGTTCAAGTTCAAACTAAACGATGTTTTGTTTCACTACGTAAGCCCCAAAGAGCTATATAGCTCAATTTCGATTTGTGTTGTGGCCGAAACGTCGTGAGAATATTATTGTGTATTTTATTTTATCAATTTATTATTTTATTCTCATTCTACGTCACTTTACCGAAAGAACCAAAGCAGCTATATAGCTCTTTTTCACAAGCGACCTGGCCACAAATGTTGTCCTTCCACCGCACCTCCGATTAACACGGTTGGCTCCGTACGGTGCGAAAGAAGTTCAACGTCTGTATAGCTCAAGAAAGTGGCTTATCATGTGGGGATTTTTGGCAGCCAAATACTCTAAAGCACATGTTGATTTTAAATCTGGAGGGAAAAAATCCACGTGCCCACGGTGAGAACACGCAAACTCCAAAATGTACAGGCATCGCCAGGGTGGGATCGATCCCACGACCTCCTGTACACCGGGCGAGGTAGTTAACATCTCCTAGCCACCGTGGTGGCTTCCAGCTGCCTCTTCACATCCAATGACTCCTCAGTGTTTGCAGATTGGTCAATTGTTTGCCATGCAAGCCAACTTCCATCCGAGATGTTCTACTTACTTACAACGTTTCGCCCCCATTGCAAAGTCAGAACCACCGTCTCTCCACGTTCACCATATCCACAAGACCATCTCACCACCACCATCATTTTACTTTCACAACCCAGTAACCTCCGCATTCACTTGAGGCTCGCATGACCATCTCACCGCCATCTCACCTCCACGACGATGTCAGCTCCACTCTCACTCCAACTCGCCCAGACCATCTCACGACATCAACCATCTCATTGCCATCACCACATCATTGTTCAGAGTCAGTATTCTTCCTGGAGGAATCCGATGAGCTATAAAGCTCTTTTTCACAGATGTCCAGTAGGGGTCACAGATGTCCATTGCCAGGATCACTCCCTCTCCACCGCTCACTCGGGCTCAACTCTTATAATCATCACAATTTAGCTTTAGTTTCAAATGCACTACCAAAGGCAAGGAATGAGCTTATTTTATAACTTAATTTGTGTTAATCCTCTGACATTGTGTGAGCGTTCAAAATATCAGGTTTACACATACACAGAGCGTGGAACACCGTGTTGTCTTTTCGTGTCTCTTTGCAAATGTGTTACTGTTTGTTGTTGTAACGCTTTGACCCCGCCCTACTGGAACATCAGTAGAAAAGAGCTTTACAGCTCATCGGATTCCTCCAGTAGAAATAAATATTCGGACAATTAAATGGTTTATTTTGAAGTTTAATTTGGAAGAAAAAAAAACCTGTTTTTCACCATTACATTTTGTGTAATCTTCATGTAAATAACGTGGTATGTGTAAACATATAATTTTATATTACGGAGGGGGGGAGGGGGTCACCCACCACCTACCACAACACAAAGATCCCCCATGTAGCCTTGATAGACTGTAGGGGCAAGTGCTGTGAGCGAGCAACCTATGAAGGCCGGCACAGCACACGAGGGGATGGGGTGTCCAGGACCACGCCCGGCCGCCTTTGTCTCCCCGGTTGGCGATGTGTTTTTTTTTACGCACAGCACCAGGTAACTTATTTGAGGTCGAGTCGATCTAGGGGAGGCCCAGGACCAGTTCAGATAATCGTTAGTGGGCATTGTTGGCCGCGAGCGGGAATCGAACTCGGGTCGCCGGGTTCGTAGCCACCACCACCCTCCACCACCATCATCATCCACCACCTACCACCACCTATCACCACCCTCCACCACCATCACCTACCACCACCACCCTCCACCACTCTCCACCCACCACCTACCACCACCACCACCACCCTCCACCACTCTCCACCCACCACCTACCACCACCACCCTCCATCACCTACTACTACCCACCACCACCCTCCACCACTCTCCACTCACCACCTACCACCACCCTCCACCACCCACCACCACCTACCACCACTCACCACCCTCCACCACCCACCAACCACCACCACCTACCACCACCCCCCTCCACCACCTACCACCACCCTCCACCACTCTCCATCCACCACCCACCATCCACGTCTCCGAACACACAACACGTTTAGAAACCATAGCGCGCATCGGGCTCGCACGATTGGCTGCTGCTGCCGCTCGCCGCGGGCACCCGACCAATCGGCGCGACGGCTCCGGTGGGCCCGCGGCTGCCTAAGCAGTCTACGAAAATCAAATCGGGGGCGGTGAGGGGAAACCCCCCCCTTCCCCCCACAAGCACCACAACAAATGGCGGGCAAGTCGGGCAAGCAGAGTGGCGGGAGGCCCGGCCGCGAGGAGCTGCGGCAGGAGGACGTCCTGCAAGCGGTGCTGCTGGCGGACAGCTTCGACCAGCGCTTCGGGCCCGTGACGAGAGACGCGCCCAGGGTGAGAGAACGGCGGCGGCGGATGGTGGTGGTGGTGATGATGGTGGTGGTGATGGTGATGATGGTGATGGTGGTGATGATGATGGTGGTGGTGATGAGGGAGTGGGGGCGTGAGGGGGTTTGTTGGGAAGGCCGCAGTGAGTTGGTGGTGGGGACGTGAGGGGGTTTGTTGGGAAGGCCGCAGTGAGTTGGTGGTGGTGGGGGAGACGGATTGGATTTGCTCGCGCGCTTAGGCGAGTCGCTCCATACGATTGGTCGGGGCCCCGGCTGTTGTGCGGTGCGATTGGCGAGCGCCGGTCACGTTGGTGTCGCTCGTCCAATAAGCGGGCGTCGCGTTTGTCGATGCTGCCGATGCGGTGTACGAATTGTGTTCGCAGCGTTTGATTGGTTTGAGACACGTGTGTGGTTTTTTTTGGGGTAAATGTTACATTTATGTAGGGGTTTAGTTTAACGTACCAGTTATTTGTTTAATAACGCTGGCCGCATAAGCGCCGAATGATTCCATTCGACGTCGATTTATGTTGCCATTCTGCAATGAACAACGGAGCGCGTTTTCTTTGAGCGTGACGTGCGTTCGTATCGCAGTGGAACATTTTAAAAGACACATTTTAAAGTACTGTACACATTTTATGTCGCCGCAGTTTCTTATTTCCACATCTGACAACAACAAAAACAATGCAGTCTATCCACAACAATTGTCCCTGTGCTGCACAGCCCATTTGTCAATTCACCGATGGACGCGGTTCCTCCCCCACGCGTCGCGGATCGTCGGGGGTTATTTGACCATACTTCACCACTCCGGTCGCTGAAGGCGGGGAGCATAGACGCTAGGATCACAGGAGTACAATACTACAACGGGGAGTTGCTACACTGCACATGCTACACGTACAGTATGGACATAACAGGTTTTTGTTAAATTTTATAATTTCGAGTTCAAAGCGTGGCTGTCCCTTTAAGTGAGATGACTCGGTTCCGTCATAATAATGGGGAATGTCCACCACGGACTCTGATGAACATCAGAGTTGACACTGCCCCCGAATGAACCCCCCCCCCCCCCCACTACGAGAATGTGGAATTTCCACGACTGATCCACGCTATTAAATTAACTGAGATAAATTAGCGAAACAATTGAACGTACAATATATTAGGTTCAGGGTACACTGTCTAAAAGTGCCTGTGACCAAATCCACCTGGAATTACTGCAGTCTCTTATCTCAGAAGCTAAAGCAGAATCAGGCCTGGATGAATAGTGCTTGCGTAATTTCCTACCCCCATTTCCCATAGCAGTAATCACCAGGGCATGTGCACTCGGCTATAGGGACTCGTCAACTTACGAAAGAGTTAGTTTCCAGGTCTGTTTGTACGTCTATTTGTTCGTAAGTCCAACTTTACTCCCGTCGATTCGAAATATGTTGTACGGCATGTACATTAAACACGGGGGATGGCTTTAAAAGTTGTATAATCTCCTGTAGATGGAGATGCCACGGGTTCTTCATGTTCTACAGATGCTACTGGTTCTTCATGTTCTGCAGATGTTGCTACTGGTTCTTCATGTTCTGCATATGTAGATGCAAAACTTGTTCTATATGTCCTGCTTATGTAGATGCTAATGCCCTTTAGTGCTCGTGTTTCCTCTCTTCTCTCTTGAAACACTTGCTAAGAGATGTCTGCAAGTTGCTCTTCATAAATCAACTTGTAACGGGCAATATCATTGTGAACAGCTGCCGGCATCTTCGTAAACCTTTCAGTGTTTGGGTCCTGAGACTCAAAACAAGCCGGTGTTTGCCATCTATTGCGTGGCGGTTTAACTTACGACTCTCAGTCCGAACAGGCAAATGGACATACGGATAGGTTTGTATCTCTGAAAGTTCGTAAGTCGAATGTTTGTTAGTCGAGGAGTCCTTGTATTGGCAGTGCACTTTTCTGTAAGCGTACAGTCATCTTGCCTTGTTGTGTTTGTGTTTCGTGACATGAATGACATGCCCATGCTTAGTATAATTAACCTATAAGCAAACTCTTGTAACCCAAGATTTGCCTCGATGCATATGTTTTGGCTGCAAGGGTGTCCCAAACGGTGGCAGTACAGCAATGGATTGTTGAACCTATCTGTGGAGCTTTGAGTTATACCTCCTCGTACCTCACTTAAATGTTTTAAATAGTTTTTATTTACATTGTTATCACTTATTTTGTAGATCGTGTCGTTCATCTGTGTGCAGTACATTGTTACGATCCAGGCCTTGCCTGGTGTTCAATCAGAGGTTGGCAAACTGCATCCTGCAAAATCATTTAATGTGACCCATGGCCACATGAGGCCATCCACTTAACAACCACCCACAAACTATATCTATCCACGACAGCAAGCATCTTAGCCGTACTAGACGGGCACGAGGAGGGGATATTTTTGACCTGGAAACAACACTGCGCTCAGTCACTTGCCATGGCCAAGGGTCTCTTGCAATGACAGTTGACTCAGGTGTTTGTATTTATGCATGGCTTAACCAAAGTTACTTGAATGTTCGATTTGGCCTTCATTAAGGGATAGGTTCCCCACGCCTGCTTTCAATAATTGTCTGTCTGGCATTGCGTGCAGGCACTCTTACCTCTGGTGAACGTGCCCATGATCGACTATGCTCTGGAGATGCTCACGGCCGCCGGTGTCCAGCAGACGTTCGTCTTCTGCTGCTGGAAAGCGGAGGAAGTCAGAGCGTACATCAGGTTCATGTCGTCAGGCTCGCCGCCTCACCATTTTATTCTATGAGCTGTATCATCAAATGAATGCCTACTATTCTTTTCCCCAATATGATTACACATTCCCTGTGCGTTCATCGTGTGTTATTGGGTGCCTCTGTTTGTCCCTGGGCATTCCCGTGTATCCAATGCATCCATGTCCATACCCGTGTATTTGTGGGTGTCCTCATGCATCCCTGGATCCCTGGGTATCCTTATTTGCCTCTGAATCACCGTCCATACCCTTGCATCCGTGTGTGTGTTCGTCTGTCCCTTTTTGTCCCTGGGCACCCACGTGCATCCCCGTCCTTACCTGCGCATTCCCGCGTGCGTGTACCCATGTCTGCGTGCCACCGCATGTTGCCGTGCACGTGGCGGGCACAGCAATTCGCGGTGGAGTGCGCCGGGGTCGCGCAACGTGGTGCGCGTGCTGAGCTCGGAGACGTTCCGCTCGCTGGGCGACGTGCTGCGCGACGTGGACGCCAAGACGCTGGTGCGCTCCGACTTCCTGCTGGTGCACGCCGACCTCGTGTGCAACGCGAGCCTCAAGAGCGCCCTGCAGCAGCACAAGTGCGCCATCCTCCCCCACCTACCGCTCCCCCTACCGCCGCCACCGTTCGCCCTCACATACATGCCTGCAACACTGTGGACAGGCCGACCCCTGCCATTGGAATATGGAGTTGTTCACGCAGGCTTGGGGACGAACAACGGCAGTCTTTTGAGCGGGGGAGATACTTCAGCTTTGATCCCAGAGTTACAGTGGTGACTCCAGAGTTTAATGTTACAGTTTAACACGTAGGCTTTCGCGACCAATATTATTAATAATAAAGGACTTTTTAGTAAATTGTAAATGTTGTGGGTTCACTCTCCAACACACCGGTGTGCCAAAGTAGGAACTAATTGACACGTTTACGTGACAAACTTTACTATTTGGCTTTGGTTGTGGTGGGTACACGATGCACATATATACTTACGCGGGACTATAAATAATGTGTATCCATGCGCGTATTTTGAGCGTACGAATCGACGATTCCGACGTGTCGTGACACACCGAAGGATGACGATGACGTTGCTGATGCTGGTGTGGCGTTGATTGGCAGGCAGCGGCGCGAGCGAGAGAGGAACGTGTCGGTGATGACCATGGTGTTCCGCGAGTGTCGACCGGGCCACCGCGCCCGCACTCGCCACGACGATGTCGTGGTGGCGGCGGACGCGTGCACGGGGCGCGTGCTGCACTACCAGCGTGCCGCGCCGGGGAAAATCCGCCTGCCGCTGGTGAGCGGGCAATGCTCATCACTGTCTTTGTGCTTATTGTTTTGGTGCCATTTCTTCACTTGTTTATTCATTTTCGATTTTGCTTGGTAGTAGGGTTTTCATTTGCCTGGTAGTGGGTTTGGTCCTCATGTAATTAATGTACAGCGTTGTGGGATGCTATTAGCATGATGACGCTATATAAAATTTGAAAATTATCATCATTGGGCGGTGTCGTCATGGTCCAAATCATAACTACGTAGACACTCATTACTTGGCTTATAACATCTTGATATATAGAGGACCGCAGAGCTTGGCATTGGCTCGCTGCGTGGCGTCCATTCCCGTTTGGTTCCCCCACGAGCCTCGGAGTCGGTCTCTTGGAGAGTGAATGAAGAATGTGTTCTTCCCTTGCCTTCCCTTGTGTCTGCTGGAGCAGCATATCTTCCAGGGCGGTAGCGGCGAGGTAGAGGTCAGGCACGATCTCCTCGACTGCCACATCAGCATCTGCTCGCCGCAGGTGACCACCGCAACCCAGATACCCCCCCCACCATCCCTCAACTTCCCGACCCCTGACACCTGGCAAAGAAGCGCAAAGCCTTCGATAAAAACACAAACAAATTTAATTCAACACGCCGTTTATTTTTTCATTTAACCATCCAGATTTATTGTTTTATTGACAATTATTTATCATTTGAAAGTCTCGTAGCGTGGATTATATTGTAATTATTATTCTTAGAAGTGCTGTAAGTCACTGGTCAAACCGTTGACGCCTATCGACACGAACTCCCATTGTCGGTTTATTTCTGCCTGCTCTCCCCCTGCCCGACAGGTGGCCGAGCTCTTCACAGATAATTTCGACTACCAGACGAGGGATGATTTCGTCCGCGGGATCCTTGTCAACGAAGAGGTGTGTGTTCCCTGGCTTTGTCCGACGCGATGCGGAGCGGTGCTTTGGCCCAACGAGCTAAGGTTGGCCCAAAATAACTTGCACTTGCAGTCCATCAGAGCTGCATGGTTGGAATGAAATCGCTTGAATGAAACAGCTTGGCAATTTTTTTTTTGCCGAGCTAAAATTCCAGTAACCGGTGCAGGACTCCTATCCGCCCGCACCACCATTGGCGCTTGGTGACTGACGTGCGGTCAACAGAACTTGTAACGTCCCTCGCAGTGGTGGTGTGGTCAGAAAACACCGGCAGTGGAGAGATGAATTGAACTCGGTTTACATTAGAAATGTAACCGTTGGGCTCCACCCGTGGTTCGACAAATTGTCATAATTTTGGATCGCGATTTGATTCAACAAGCGGTTGTTTTTTTTTCCTATTGCGATACACTAAGCGTCTCAGTTGTGCAAACCAATTACAGCAGATTCGAATTGTAAATAGCTCATCCTCACACACACGGTTCAATGCTTGTATCGTGAGCCTAACAGTCGATACAAATCGATGCGTCGTTGCATGCATAGGCTACACGGTGTCAACCACACCCGCCGAAGCTCCCCCGTGCAGGCCTTAATAGCTGCTCGCCGACATCGTTCACCTTGACGCCCAAAACAGAGATGTGGTGACATTGCGGATCATCGTCCTGGGTGGTATCCGGTGGTAAATAATTATTCGTTTTTGATGCAGTGCCGGGGCATCCCTTGACCGCTTTACATGACACCTCGTCTTGCGTCCGTGTCAGATTCTCGGGAACCAGATCCACATGGTGTGCCTGCGCGACTCATACGCGGCGCGTGCGTCCAGCCTCTACGCCTACCATGCCGTGAGCTGCGACATCGTGCGCCGCTGGCCCTGCCCCTTCACGCCCGAAGTGATGGTGCCGTCGGCGGGATGCGGGTAGGTGTCGCCCCCCCCCGTAATGAGAACATGGGATTTTCACAACGTGTGCGAGTCCCGGGCCCACCGACAGGGATGAGTGCCATCGCCATTTCTTAAATGCTTTCATCCTTGCTGATCTCGTCAAGGAGCGTAAACCATCACGCAAACTCCAGTCATCCTCGCAGTGGCTTTTGGCTGGCCATCGAACAAAGACGTTCCCCGCGTCGCGACGCTTTCAGATGTGCTTCTGCGACCGTCTGGAACGCTCTTCCGATATTAGGAAGCCACTGGAGCTATGCACTTTCAAATTTGTATTAAAAACTAATTTCTTTAGAACTGTTTTTTTGTGTTAAGTTTGTTGTCCTTCCCCCAACGCCTCCAATTGACGCAGTTGGCTACATACGGTGCAAAAGAAGTTCAACATACCTACATTGGAGCATGTTAGCATTAACACACAATTTGTGATGTTCGGCCTTCATTAAGGAAAAAATCCCCCCAGCTCATACTTAAATGCCCTACGCTGTGAATCGCAATCATCGTTGACGTTGATTTTTTTTCTTCCGGCCACCCCGCATAGGGACGGCTACGCACTGGCGCGCCACAACGTGTACCGTGCGCCCGGCGTGTCGCTGGGGCCCGGCAGCCTCGTGGAGGGTGACTCGGTGATGGGACAGGACACGACGATCGGCGCCGGCTGCCACATCACACGCACCGTCATCGGCCGCAGATGCAGCATCGGTAACGACGGGCTATCGTCCTCTCGCGTTTCTAGTTAACGTCACTGTGACGACAAGTTCAGGTGTTCTGACTACAGGAACGGGATCATAGTCTTCATCTGCCGTCCTTGCCCCGATGGCACATATCCAGGAGGGTCTTTTTGTGTGTGCCTGTGCAAGTGCCCGTGTCTTGCCTGTTTATTTGCACGTGTGTGTGTGTGTCAATGTGTCCGTGTGTGTCCCATGTGCCTGTACACCCATAGCCATGCGTATATGTCCATGTCCACATGTACACACCTCTGCTGCGTGTTTTACACGTATGCCTGTCCACGTGCACACGTGCCCGTGCGCTCAGGTCAGTATGTCGCCCTGTGCGTGTGTTTGTGCCCGTGTGAAATGCGCTCGTGGCCCGTACGTGTGTACTTCCAACAGCTGGCGTGATTGTGTCTCGTTTGTTTACCCGTGTCTGTGTGTGCGCTTGTGTGTGTGTGCGTGCAGTACTTGCGCCAGCAGTATCAGCCTGCATAGCTTTCCGACGCGTTTTCGGGTCGTGCCTTGCGTTGTCCGGCACGACGTCCCGGACGTTTCACCCCGCGTGCTGGGAGCTTCTTCGGGAATCGAAGTCCTGTGCAGCGCAACCGCGACAGGACCTTACGCAGCTAACTGCGGGGTAACCTCTGTCTCTGCGCCAGGTAGCAACGTGCGCCTGGAAGACGCGGTCTTGTGGGACAACGTGACGATCGCCGACGGAGTCGTGGTGTGCGGCTCCCTCGTGTGTAGCGGCGCCTCCATCCGGCACAACGTGCGCGTGCTTCCACGCTGCGTCATCTCCTATGGGGTGAGAAGCAGCAACCGGGGGGGTGTGGGGGGGGGGCATGCGAACACTCGGAGGAACCGAGTGGTAAGGAAAAGTACGACGATGCCATACTCTAGGAAGGGGTGATCTCTGTCGTCCGTCTGCCGGTCCGCGTAGACGGTGGTGGGCCCTGATGTCTCCCTGCCCGAGGGGACGGCCATCTCCTTGCATGTCCCACGCGATGCCGACGACGACGATGACTACGACGAGTTCAGCGAGGAGGAATCGTCTGACCAGGTCAAGGCACCATCCAAGGACAAAGGTCACTTGTGACATACACGTGACATTACACGGTGTTGGTCAGCGATGTGTGCGGCTCTACGATGTGGCACGCTCGTGTGAATACAACGTGACATTCGTTGCTCAATATAATGTAAGATTAAACGCAAACTTGACATGTGTTTTTTAACAATTCTTTATTTCGGTTGGACTGATGGTGTCTTGTCCATCAGACGAAGAATTAATTTGGATCCCTCGCAGAGCAGTGCATCTGTTCGTCTTGGGGAGCGGCTCAAAGAAGCGGATATCGCAGAGCTCCCTCTCGGATCCCTTCAAGTGATATCTGGCCCACACAGTTAGGGGTATAGCACTTTCCCCACGCACACTGTGACCGCCGTTGTGTGTTACTAAACACGTGTGCGAGTACACACACGTGATGAACATAGCTCTCAGTGTGACGTGTGTGAATCCGACCAATGCATCCCCACGCAGCGTCGGTCACGGGAGTTATTTGATCAGACATCACCACACTGGCCAGTGGCAGGTTGGTCAAGGGAGTACCCATTACTGGTTCAGATATCACTCGTCAATGATGTTAGCCGTTGCCGGCAATCGCAGTGTTCATAGCACAGCATCCTCAACACTGCGGTACTGACTGCTTCGGCGCCCCTTGACAATATCCAGGTACGATTCGGTAACCGTGAAGTCGCAGATAAATATTTCAGCGTGTCCTGTGTGACAGCACTCCGTGAATCTTGTCTTCTCGCCTGCTCTGTCCTCCTCTCCTGCCCTCACCCCACCCAGGCTACAATCCAGCGGAGGTGGGGTCGGAGGGCAAAGGCTATGTCTGGAACCTGATTAGCCGGGGCGAAGCCAAGGAAGATGATGCGGACGCGCTCGCAGACGACGTATGGGGTCCGTGACGTCCGTCGGGAGTTGTTCACTCGACGTTAAAGTGGGACTGGCGCTTCGCTCAGCTCGCACGGCTCGGTTCAGCGCCTCATTTGCAATGGTCACCTCTGGGGTATTAGTCTGCTATTAGGTGATGATTGCCATGCATAATCCAAAGTGAAAAGATTTGCGGGTAATTTTCTAATTTGGATGGTGATGCTCTTGCGAATGATATTAACATCCCTTGTGAAGCAGACGGCGTATATCATTCTGGTCATAACACCCGCAGTAAAAATTGGTTACAATCCAGTGGATGCTCGTGTGTGTGTGTTTCTTACTGTGCATGTGTGTGCGTGCTCATTCAGGCCTGTCCCTGGAGGAGGTGCCGGAGGAGGAGAGTGAGGAGGAGAGTGAGGATGAGTCTGGCAGTGACGTGTGTGATGGGAAAATGTCTCCACCGCCAGACGACACGAAGAGTAACTTCGCGCACGATCTCGCAGACACGCCCACACACTCCCACGCGCGAGCGTGCTCGCACGTGGCCTCTCAAATACGTGCTCACACACACCGTACATACGTGTTCAACAAACACATTAACCCAAGTTCGCACACACTCGCGTATATGCACAGTAAACAAAGACAACAATCCCCCATATAGTCTCGACAGAATGTTGGGGCGCATGTGCTGTTAGCGAGCATCTGTTAAGGCCAGGCCGGCACACGAGGTGTTGGGTGTCCAGCACCATGCCCGGCTGCCTTTGTCTCCCCAATGCTGATGTTTACAAACCACACTAGGTACTCATTTAAGGTTGAGTCGACCTAGGAGAGTCCGAGGACCAGTTCAGATATTCATTACCGTTATTGTTAGATGTGAGCTGGAATCGACTTCAGGTCGCTGGGTTCCTAGCGCAGTGCACAAACCACTGCACTACCACTCCCCAGATGCGTGCGTGTGCACACATTCCCACACATACCCCCATGCACTCTCACACAAGCACAAAGACATGTTAACATGCACACATATGCCGCACACACACGATACATAGTTTTGAGACTCGATGGGGCTTGCATTGATAAACGACATCACTATCATTAACATAAATAGCACAAACAGAACGTCGTTTATTCAAATGAAAAAAAAAGCCAACACCGCTATACCATTAAACCAATGCAGTGAGTGAGCAGCGTTGTGATCTGCTGTGTTTGCAGTGTTCTACAACGAGGTGCTTGACAGCCTGCAGCGGGGGGCCGAGGAGAATGTGTCATGCGACAACCTCGTACTGGAAATCAATTCGTCTAAGTGAGTCTCGTTGATCGTGTGTCAGTCGCCGGGAATCGCCCCCACGCCACACCCCAATATCGTCACGTCTCAGAAGCTAATAGCATCGTTATATCTATTCTGTTTTTATTTTACCAGGTAAGGCCCACTGAGCTATACAGCTCTTTTTTTCAGAAGCGATCTGCCCACGAATGATAGCTCAAAGAAGCGGCTTTTCACGTGGAAATTTAGAGCAGCCAAATATTCTAAAACGCGTGATGCTAAACGTAGAGGGAAAAAACCGGAGGACCCGGAGAAAATTCCACGCGACCATATACAGTTGAGCCCGGATTGTGCTTAGATGGGTGACCATGCACGCGGCTGCAGGGCTGTGCTACGTCGTGGGGAAGCAAGAGGTCAATGCAGCAAAATGTATACGTCCGGCACGCAGCACTCTGTTGACCCAGTGGAAGAGGCACCGTCAAAGCCACACGGCCGTAATACAATTCTCATGCATTCTCTTTTGTACTACAACCTGCCAAAGTCAATTCAGTGTTTTTAAAAATGTTTTTTTTTTTAACCAGCACGGTTGATGAACAAAAGGCCCAAATAAAACGGCAAGCCTCCAGCAACAAATGTCACTATTGAGAGTGAAATAGATTAAAGTTAATACGGAGCGAGGTAATTGTAAGGACTTGGAGAAACAAGACGATGGGAGGGGAATTCCAGGCTATCTCGGTCAGCGCCGTCAATGTTAGACGGGCTAGTGTTGTGTACAGGTTAGGCTAAGCTACTGTGGAGAGTGTGCGGACAAGACCGTGAAAGTTGTTAATAAAGAAGGTGCCTCCTAGAAACTCTGTCTCTGAATCGTTGACTCTACACATGTAACTGACCTATTGCACACGCATCTTTACTCTCAGGTACGCGTACAATGTGAGCCTCAGGGACGTGATGCAGGCGCTGACCCGCGGAGCGGTGGATGTGGTGCTGGGGCGCACGAGCAAGATGGTGCAAGCGTCCGAGTTCATGAAAGCTCTCAAGCCTGTATGTTCTCTGCCGCCCTCCTGACGTTGCCACCTTGACATTTGTGAATTTACCCTGTGCACTGCGTGCATGTATATTTGTGCATGTATGTTGTGGGGCAGTTGGCACGCTGCCCTATGAACGCAACGATCCTTGTTCGATTCCCGCTCAAGGCCAACACCAGTGGCACTTAACTGAACCGGCCCTGGGCCAAGCCGGCCTTCATAGATGCTTGCTAACGGCACTTGCCCCAAACAGTCTGTTAAAGGCTATACAGGGGATCTTTGGTGTGTGTGTGTGTTCGTGGCCGTACACCCATGCATCTACGTATGCTTGTTATATTGCATGTGTGTATATTTATTCACGTGTGTATTGAGTGTGTATACGAACGTGTGTTCCGAATCTGTTCGCCGCTGCCGCCACTGCCTTCCAACCCCTCCCCCAGCTGCTGGTGCAGTGGACGCCGCTGTTCCGTAACTACGTGAAGCGTCTGAGCGACCACATGGATGTGCTGGCCGTGCTGGAGGAAGCGGCGTTCGCTGTCCCGCAGGTGCACGCCGCCCTCGCCACGGTGAGCCCCGGGGACGTGATGCAGGCGCCGGCCCGCAGAGCGTCCCGCCGTGGCGCTGGGGCGCGCGGGGAAGTCGGCGCACTGAGCTGCATTGCCTTCCGGTTGCTGAGCGAACACATTACAAGGCCGCACTCGTTACGCACAAAATACTTGCCACAAATTAACCGCACAACTTGCTGATCTCGTCAAGGAACCTAAAACATCACGCGGACTCCGGTCATCCACGCAGCAACGGCTTTTGGCTAGCCATCGCGCTCGCTTTCGGGTGCGCTTCTGCGTCCTTATGGAATACTCTTCCTATATTAGGAGGCCACTGGGAGCTATGCACTTGTAAATCTAGATTAAAAACGAATTTCTTGAAAATTGCTTTTTGTGTTAAGTTTTTGTTGTCCTTCACCCGTGCTTCCGATTAGCATGTTTGGCTACTTACGGTGAGCAAGAAGTGCAACCTCCATACATATAGCGCTAACACTGGAGACTTCCGTGGGGCTGTTCTGGTGTTGTAGGCTTGGGCTGCGAGGCAGTCAAGAAAAATACGGTTCAGAAATCCGTTTTTGAGGCTTATCTGCACAAAGCTCCGAGTGCTCCTTCCTGGTACTCCTGTTTCCAAGCACATTTCAAACATTGGGATTTTTGGAATTGGCCAAATATACGAACAATGCAGGACTCTCCCAAATAACCGTCTTGAGGCTCTTTTAGGCTTCCCTGGGTAATTGAAGTATGACACCGCTGCGTCGCTTGCAAGAAGAGGATATTATTCTCAACGTGCTCTCGCCTGGCTTTAATGCGAAGACGCGAAGTCGCATTGCAAGCGCGGGTTACGGCACGCTACGTGTTGATACAACGCAGCCCTTGGCAGTCTTTAGAACCCCCTAAGCTCGCTTTACTCTCGCACCCACAACATCCCTTCCCTCCCGCCCACCTCCTCGCTCACAGATCCTGATGACGATGTACGAAGAGGAGGTGCTGGAGGAGGAAGCCATCATGAGGTGGTTCACTCAGACTGATTGCTCGGAGAAAGCCCGGCAGTTGCGGCATTTGCCTTCGGTGAGTGTGGTGCCCATGGACCATGCCAGCCCCAACTCCTGCCTGCCCATCAGCCTGCCAACCTGCTCGCCTATCCATTTGTTCCTTCATTTAATTTGGGCTTATGAGGCAAATGGCATCTCATGCTGAGTGGGTGGAAAAAAAGGCCTTTGTCGTGACCCAAGAGGGCTCTGTAAGGGCATATATTTACGTCATAACATAACTGATACTAATAATACAAGTAAAATATTAACTATAGGTAGTTTTGTCAATGTCTTTCAAACTCCAGTCCTTGTAACCGACAATGTTACGCCTTTCACATTTCATCAGTCTTCCCCATTCGAATCAAAGCTGCTTTGATTCGAATGGGGAAGACTGATGAAATCAGGGCCGGTTCAGCTGCTAAAAAAAAGTCCCAAGTGACATAGACACCTGATTCGAATGAAGATTGAGAATTTTGTGATTAAGTCAGAGGTTGAATCTGTAGTCTACATCACACGGTATGTGTTAACCAATAATCAGGCATGTGCTGCGTGTAATGACAATTTGTGTTTAAATGGGGACAGTTGATGAAATGCTGAGAGAGTTATCATTGTGGATCATGAGGAATTGAGTCTGGGGAAACCCTGATTTAAGCGATGATGATGATGATGCTTAGGATGAAACGGTAAGATAATGGAGGCCTGCGTTGTAATTGATGGCAATGTAAACCTTTCCTGTGCAGATCCAGAAGTTTGTACAGTGGCTACGAGAAGCTGACGAGGAGTCAAGCGACGAGAACTAAATATCAATCGGTAGCACGTCAAAGTTTCATCCGCCGCCGTCCCCTCTCTTTACAAAAAGGGACAATGGAACTGGCCCTACACCATCTTCTTCAGGGCCTCCAACGCTGCACGGCATAGGCCCAAACCATGCAACACGCGTGGATTGGAGCGGCCAAGCCTGCCCTCTTAATTTTGACAATTTTTTTTTTAAACAAACGCGCTTCATCCCTTTGGCAGATGTTTTATGATTCGCGATGTTGCTGCCTGTAGCGATGGTTAATATAGTAATAAATAACTTTTGGAGAGTTGTGGCCAAACAATTAAAGTCAGTGTTGTGTACTGATTTCTAATAAGTGCTGAGATCTTTCTGGTTTTGCATGGTGCAGTCTTACGTGCGGTATTCTGCAAATCCAGGCTCAAAATATGCTCCAAATTTGTGGCTTCAGAAACAAGGATTTTGGGCTCCCAACCCTTATAATCCAGGTTCTGTCAACCAAGCTCCGGATTCCTGACTCCAGGAATCTAAACCAGTAGTTGCCAAACTCCCTGACCCGACAAACCACATACAAAACATGGAATGCAACCAAGAGCTACAAGACACGTGGTCAACGGACTGGTTTGCTCGTGCTGGTTGGCTCTGGAGTTTTGAATAAAAAAAACTTATCTTCTGGAGCAGTTGTGTCTGGCTCTGTTGTCCAGGAGAAAAGTGCCCTTGGCTGCTCTGGCCTCGGAAGATTTTTCCTGCTTCAAATAAAATTCCGTTATCTCTTTCGAGCGGCACTTTGAACAGCCCGGGATGCACATGCGTCCTTGGGAACCGTGTTTTGGCAACGCCTGATAACGATTGTAATCCAGGCTGGAAACAAACTGGCTCCAGTTACCGCTCGCACCCAGGGCATTGCGCCTACAATATCCTCACATTCATTCGCAATCTCTCTCCGCCAGTAAAAAAAAATCTAATGCCCAGAGTGGATCACCATGTTCACCATTCAGTGCCACGGGTGGAGACAATTGTCCCAGAAGCGTCCTGTGACTAGAGTGGTGGATTCTTAAAGGAACGCGTTTCCTCCATCTCTTATTTTCAACTCGAACCACAGCGATGATGTGCGTGAGCTGTTTCCCATGGTACCATCAAGTTTCTGAGACTGCCTCTGTAGGTCGTTTCAGTATTGTTATGTTATCTATGGGGTTTTCTGCGTGCATTTTGCCTCTTTTTCCCACAATTCATAACAAAGTTTGGTACTCTAAACATAAATTTGGCTTAACATTCTGAGTACGACCCCTCCTTTTGGAATGTATTTTTGACAAACGAGGCAATCCTGGAATAACATTTCAACGTAAGGGTTTTAAGCGATCACGTGCGGCCGCGTAGCGCAGAGGTGTTCTGTTTGGATTGCACTTTGTAAATGTGTCGAGCGGATCAATGTCGCACTGCCTACACGGCGAATAAACAAGCGTAAAGAGCAAAATCTGTTGTGTTCTTAATATGACGGAAGTGGTGGCGCAGTGGTTGGAGCAGCGCAATATACGAACGGCTGAGTAAGTCGCTGCATTGTTTTGTTTTATTTCTATTACACGTAATAATAGGGGTTTTTCCCCTTTTTTTATGGCAACAAAACTGAAACCTTATTACAATGATTCATGTCCGCATTAACTACAATACTTGCAGTCAAAATGCAAACAAAAAAAACATACTATGATAAAATATGATGCATTGTCCTTGAGCCTCGACCCAATTGGTGCTCGACCAGAGGACGCCAAAAGGCGTTACACACTCAACCAAAGGATACTCTCCATTTTGCTCGTCCATTGCTCCCCCAGTTCAATCAACAACAACGAGGCACATGCGGGACATTTCGTAAGAGGGCCACGGCTGGAAATATGAAGGATACCAATGGAAGGGAATTAGGGGATGAAGATTTAAATGAAATGCATTTGTGGGACAATGTGAGCGAGTACTTCGGGCAGTACTCGCCGCAATAGGTGATGACGTGGCACAGGTAATTTTTTTCTCGTTGCAGAGGTTAGGGGTCGTCCCTAAATGACATAACGCACCTGGAGGGGAGGGGGGTCAGACATTTGTGACGATGTGTGACGAGGGGGGGGGGTGGGGGTTTGAGAAATGTGACGTCAAATCAAAATGCGCAACTTTAAACGTAGACAACACGTTCTACTTAATTAGACTTTTTAATAAATGTTTTCTCCTACAACATCAGAGTGCAGCGGCACATTAAATACGCACTACAATGACAATAGTGTAAAGCGATTTGAAGCATGTTTTATTATTTTGGGGGGGGGGGGGGGGGGGGCAGAGCTTTGTGACGTCATTCGAGGGGGGGGGGTCTGACTTTCTGACGCCGAATGACGATGGGGGGGGGGTCAAAAATCGTTCAAAATCGCGTGACGTCATTTATGGACGGCCCCTTAACGGTTCGAATCCAGCGGCGGTCCTCATCAATGCTGCGGGTGTCAGCAACTCAAACAATAAGCGCGTCGGTAGACAGTGAAGACCCCGTGACGCAACAGTAGGCTATTGTCGGCATCGCGGAAGATGACACTGCAAGCCACTCGTTTGGAATATACCGCACCGAGACAGAGCAATCTGCGCTACATGTTGCAAAAGCTTGGCAGGAACCCTCATCGACAATGTGTCATGAGACTCGGTAGGGCTTTGCCGGGTGAGCACGCAGATTGAGAGGCGTTGAACATCTCAAAAGGTGAGAGAAAGCATACGTCACGGACATCGACCCCGCGTTATGAGGATGACACGATAAGACACTTTGTTGAGCTGTCATTTGTGGCCAGGTCGCTTCTGAAAAATAAGTAAAAAAAAAACAAGTAAATCTAGATCTGAAGTTTTCGTGACTGCAGGGATCCATGCATACTCTTTGGTTCTTTCCGTAAAGTCACGTAGGTATAAAATAAAAAAAAATCACTAAATTTATTTTATTTTATACCTGCGTGACTGTACCTAAAAAAGAAGTAAATCTCGAAAGATTTTTTTTATTTAAAACTTTCGTGACTGCAGGAATTCATATTCTTTGGTTCTTTCGGTAAAGTCACGTAGATATATATTTTTTTATTATTTTCTATCTACGGGACTTTACCGAAAGAACCAAAGAATATAAATCTATGTAGCTCAGTGGGCGTTGCCTGGTATGATGGGGATGGTTTAGTTTTATTTGTGTTTGGGTGATTTGTTTACCTTTACTTGTACTTTACACTGCCATCACGTGATAATTGGTATTTTACCCTTTTATCTGGCAACAAAACTGACATCTTTTTTTTACAAGGAGTCATGTTTACATTGACCACAATACCTGCGGTCGGAATGCAAACTAAAAACACAACTCTGATAATGTATGTGTATGCACTGTCCTTGAAATTGATTGGTCCACACCCGAGACAGCTTTCCTTAGAGCCTAGTCTCACATGGTGTTGGACCAGGTGACGCCAAAAGGAGGTTCCAATGCTGTAAATACTGCCATCACGTGTTTGTATAGTTTGTTGTTGTAACATTTTTTTTACCCGCCCCTTACTGGACATCTGTGAAAAAGAGCTGCATAGCTCATCGGATTCCTCCGGTATAAATACATATGCTGACTGATATAGATTCTGATATAGAATCAGTATTGGTGTCGTCACCCCCCCCCCCCCGCGATATGGCTCGTGTGGATGAACAAATTCAAGTGGGCCATTGTGGAATGTTTACAAATGCCTTTTGTTTAAAGTCACACCATAAGCCAGCCACATACATGCCCCAGTTGAACAAAACCTGTGCGTGGGTCATCAGCTATTATTTGGACTCATCAGCAGAACAGGGCTGGTGAGGGGGCAATGCTAACACGATTATTTACGCGAAACTGTCGTAATTATTTTGTTCACCAGCAGTACACAGTACACCGCATATTGTAATGCACATAGAGTCCACCGCTGGATGAGGACCTCCTCAGGCCGTGTGCTGTTGTTAATGTGACCATAATTCACAATGCTCTTGGCTCGGTGTGGGTTGAGTCATTGTGGGTGGGTGGTGGTGGGTCGACCCATTGTCTTTATCCTGGGGGACTGAGTTGTGGGGGGTGGGGGTGAGTTGTGGGGGGGTAGGGTGGGTGGGGGTGAGTTGTGGGGGGTAGGGGGGTGTGGGTGAGGGGTGGGGGGTGGGGCTGAGTTGTGGGGTGGAACATTGTAAACACGTGGGTGTGCTTTCGGGCTGTACCATTGCGCGTCTCTGCCGGAGGGGGGTGCAACTCTGGTGGTGGGTGATGTTATGATGATGTCGGGACACGTGGGGGATAACATTCACGGTTTCCAGGAAGGCTTCCGGCAAGCAGAGGCAGGCAGAGGCAGGCGGAGGCAAGCCCCCCCCCCCACCGACTTCGACTCGTTGACGTTTCTAATTCATTAGTCATAGATGGCGGTGCGTCGAGCAAACCCTTCCACCTCGAGGCGTGGTGGAGTTTAAAGCGACGCTGATGATGAATCGGAGCTGCTGTTGCTGCTGCCGCCTCTGCTACGTGTGTGCCACGGCATTTAAAGGTACCGACAGCTGATCGCGTTTGGGCAACGTCGCAAGTTGTTTGTGTTGGACGTGCAGTGTTTTATTCGAGCCGAGGGTTGTTGTCTAAGTGTGCGCGGGGAGCGGTGGCGCAGTAGTTAGCGCACTGCGCTACGAACCCGAGTTCTCTTCCCGCTCGACATGTAATAAGCGCAGTAAATTGACCAGCGCGGTGAAGTATGGTCGATCGGACACCTCCTCCCACACTACCACCCCCACCACACCTTGACTGGCACGGCGTAGCGGTGGGTTCGTATTAAAGGGTTGTATAGTACATTGTAATCATTAACGATCTGTAAGGATATACAGTATGGGGAATCTCTCTGCGAGTTTATATCGAAGCGTCTGAGGTTGACTCGACGTTTAAGTGAGCACCTTGTGCTCTGTGTAAACTTAAGCAGTGGTGAGACAAAGGCGGCCGGACGTGGTGCTGACAACACCACCACTACCACCTCGCGTGGCTTTGCTTATCATTAATAGGCGCTCGCAAACAACAGCATATGAAGTCTGTACAAGGAGGGGGTGGGGGGAGTGATCGTGTGACTTTGACCACAACAGAGACAGCTGTTGTGGTAAGATCTAAAATAGTTAAGTTTAAACTCTATTGGTAACCACATACTGGGGCTGGGCACAGGGCTTACAGCGAGTCAACACAAATAGCAGTGACCTTTCAAACTCCACGCGTGGCAATTGTCTAAGAGACTCAAGGCCATCATTATCATCAGCCATGTTCGATCCACTGCTGGATGAATGCTCTCTCCCTTAAGCTGCTACCACCACCTAAATTTCGTTTGAAAGCTTTTGTGACTGCAGGGATTAATATTCTTGGTTCTTTCGGTGAAGTCACGTAGGAGGGAAATAATAAAATACTAAAAATAAAATAATTAAATTCTCACGACGTTTCGACTGCAACACTAGCAATCATCATCAGGTGTGAAAACCACAGCAAGACATTTTTTTTTAAAAAGTGTCGTTTTTTTCTTAACGTTAAATTTTCCTGCTGTGGTTTTCACACCTGATGATGATGATGATTGCTTGTGTTGCAATCGAAACGTAGTGATAATTTTATTGTTTTATTTTTATTATTTTATTGTTTCCCTTCTACGCGACTTTACCGAAAGAACCAAGAATATCTACCACCACCTGTTACGATCCCACGACCTTATAACTCCACCTAGCACCTGCTACATGATTTAATCGCTCAATTCTCCCGGGTGGATATACCTCTCGGACGCGTCCCGATCCTTGCCTTCGACTCCATCGTGAGAACACTTCTGCTGGCCCAGTGTCCCTCACTAATTGTCAGAGGGGGGCCCACTTTCGCCGATAAGATGTCGTCGGTGTCAGGGCCTCCACACTGCCTGCAAGGTGTCTTCACTATTTGTGTATTGTTGGGGGGGGGCGCACTAAAGGCCAGCCGCCAGCGGCCTGCGGGCCTTGCAATGAAGGACACTCAGCTCGCCACATATATAAATATTGATTACACTCTTGAGTTCGGCACCTGTGTAATGACTGTAGAGTCAACCTTCGGTGTGAGTGGACTAGTGGCCACGTGAGGTAATGACAGGGGAAGTCAGCCTGCAGTACGAATGGACTAGTGGCCACGGGAGGTAATGACAGGGGAAGTCAGCTTGCAGTACGAATGGACTAGTGGCCACGGGAGGTAATGACAGGGGAGTCAGCCTGCAGTAGGAAGGGGCTGGTGGCTACGGGAATTATCGAGAATAGGAGCGTGGCCAGGTGACAGAAGAGGACAGTGAAGTCTGCTGGTAGAGCGAGCGGTCGAGAGCCAGCGAGAAGGTTCAGGAATGGGGGCATGGCCACGGACCGTATATATAAGGGAGATGCGTGGGAGACTCCGGACTGTTGCAGTGGGGGAAACCATCTCAAGGCAAGTGCGTCGAATTCGTCTTTACACCTGTATATATGAGTACTCTGTAATCGTAATAATACATCACAAACCCACTGCTGGGTGCATATCGCAGTCCTCTGACCACTGCACCACCACTCCCCATCAGTGTCCACTGAAATGCACGTAAACATACTGATCACACACAAAGCACACGCATGTACATGCACACATATATATTAATATAAAGACAAAAATCTCCATATAACCTCAGATTGATGGATCAAGTGCTGTTGATAGTAATAACAATAATTTCCAACCCTTTTATAAATCCATTGCTGGATAAAGGCCTTCTCACACCATGCGGATCGTGGGGGGTTATTTGACCCTACTTCACCACACTGGTCAGTGCAGGTTGGTGGTGGGGGGGGAGTCTACAACCAGTGCAGTTATTTTCACCAATGATGATAGCCGTGGCGTGGAATCGGACTTTGGTCGCCGAGTTCCTAAAATGACCGATGTCATTGTGCAAGAGTCTAATTTAAATAAGTTCCCGTTTTATGAAACGGAATTGTTTTTCATTGACATGCCGTTGGTGTAGGGTCACTCTGGAAAGCCAATAGGCCAAGAGACTTCAACGAATTTTTTTTAGATGTGGAGCAGAAGGTGATTCGTTTTTTAACTACCCAGAATGCTCTATTATCGTTCGGTGAGGTTGTATACCACATTGCTCTCGTGCTGTTTGTCCATGGTGTAGAGAGATAATTTGGCAAGAAAATTTTATTTTGTGATTTTTAGGGACTAACATATTTGTAACAATTCTTTTCTTTCCACTCGTGCTTTTTTTGCGCAGGAATGGCGTGTCATCATGTTTGGCAGTAGCAAGGCCGGGGCCAAGAGAGGCTCAAAATCTCAAGCCGGGGACACGGGGAGGCCACCCAGAGGAGTAGCGAAGGGTTCATCGGTGAAGAAGGCCCAGCCTTCTGAAACAAAGGCCGTGAGAGAGCGACCGGCCAAGCCGGACAGCGAGCGAAGGCCCGCCAAGGCGAAGGGCGAACCCTTAAAGCCGCCGACGGCCGTCGAGCGGGCCGTTCCGTCGGCGGGGCCCAGGAGAGGGCTGGCGGCCGGCGCCATGTCCTCGCGGCCCAGGGGCGCAGCAGGAAGTGGGAGAACGAGCGTTCGAGGCGGCGCTTGTGCCGAGACGGGTGGCGGTGGCGGTAGCAGCGGCGGCGCGTGGTGGTTGCTGCAGGCCGGCTTGAAGATGGGGAGGGACGTGTTGGGCAGCCTCACAGGTTCGGGCGGAGACGGAGGGAGCAGCGACGGATCGGCGATTCCGAGTGCGGGAGGCAGAGCGAGGGGGTGTCCGGCGCGGGGGGCAGCCGCGAGAGGGAGCGACGCCACGCGGAGCGGAGCGACTGGCCGTGGCGCCGGTGCCGGTGGAGTCTCGCCTGTCACCAGGGTGATGGGCCTCGGGGCGGAAGGAGCCACGGGCGGGGAAGGCGGCCGGGCGGCCAGGGCAGCCGAGAGAGGACGAGCGGCAAAGCCCAGGGGTGCGGGCGTCTGGACCTCGGCGGTGAGAGCGAGCAGCACTGGGAAGGGCAGCACTAGAGGGGGCAGCACTAGCGCGGGTAGTACTAGAGGGGGCAGAACTAGTGTGGGCAGCACTAGTACAAGCAGCACTAGAGGGGGCATTACAAGCGCGGGCAGTACTAGCGCGGGCAGCACGAGAGTGGACAGCATTAGTGCAGGCAGCACGAGAGGGGGCAGCACTAGAGGGGGCAGCACTAGAGGGGGCAGCACTAGAGGGGGCAGCATTAGAGGGGGCAGCACTAGAGGGGGCAGTATTAGTGCGGGCAGCACAAGAGGCGACAGCAATAGAGGGGGCAGCACTAGAGGGGGCAGCACTAGAGGGGGCAGCACTAGAGGGGGCAGCACGAGAGGGGGCAGTATTAGTGCAGGCAGCACTAGAGGGGGCAGCATTAGAGGGGGCAGCACTAGAGGGGGCAGCACTAGAGGGGGCAGCACTAGAGGGGGCAGCATTAGTGCAGGCAGCACTAGAGGGGGCAGCACTAGAGGGGGCAGTATTAGTGCAGGCAGCACTAGAGGGGGCAGCACTAGAGGGGGCAGCACTAGAGGGGGCAGCATTAGTGCAGGCAGCACTAGAGGGGGCAGCACTAGCAGGGGCAGCACTAGCAGGGGTGCTACTTGGGGTGTTGGCACTTGGGGGGGCAGAACTTGGGGGGCTGGCAGCAGGGGGGGTGCTACTTGGGGGGTTGGCAGCAGGGGGGTTGCTACTTGGGGGGTTGGCACCAGGGGGGGTGCTACTTGGGGGGCTGGCACCACGAGGTTTGGCACCTGGAGGGTTGGCACCAGGGGACGCTGTTGGGGCAGAGGTTGGACCGGGGCTGGACGCGGAGATCCTTCAGCCGAGCGCTACATCATCAATGACAACGGCAATTATAACGATGATGACAATGAAGATGATGATTGTGACGATGATGATAATGGTCAAGGTCATGATGACAACGTTGTTCATGATGAACATGAATGTAATGATGATTATACTGAAGCTCATGAGGATGACAATGACGACGAAGATCGTGAGGACGATTCCGCTGAAGATCACGATCACGGGTGCAATAATGAGCACCACGATGAAGAACGTGGCCACGAATGTGATGATGATGACGATGATAACCACGAAGATATTGACGGTGACGACGACGACAACTATGAAGACATTGGCGACGACGACGACGACGATGACGACGGCGAAGGCTTGGCGAGCGCCGGCAAAGAGGATTTCGTGGCGACCGTCCCGACGCACCCTCTGCGCAAGCTAACACCGGACCAGGTGGAGCAGGTGGAGAGGGCAACGCGGGGCCAGAGCGACAACGAGGCGTGGTTCGCGTGGCGCCAGGGCCGCATCACGGCGTCCGTCGCCCACTCGATCGCGCACTGCCGGTAAGGGCACCGTCGGGTACGTGAGACATCGCGGCCACGGCTGGGAAAATGGCAAGCGTCCCAGGGCAGTTTGTTACTCCGTTAAATCAAGGCTGTGCTAGCGACTTGTCCCGGTTTGGCCGGCACAGGTCCCCGTAGGTTTCTCCAAGGCTGTGTCGGTGTCCTGAACATTTTGTGAGATTCGGGATTTTGTCCACGGCTTTAATATTTCTTTACTTCCTTTTTCATCCGTCATGTGGACGGATGGCGGGGCTACACCTGAGCAATGGGCGCAGGTAACCTGAGCAGTGGGCGGGGCTACCTGGACATTGGGCGGAGGTACCTGAGCAATGGGCGGAGATACTTGGGCAGTGGGCGGAGCTAACTGGCCAGTGGGCGGGGTTACTGAGCAGTGGGCAGGACTACCTGAGCAGTGATGATAATGATTGTCGTACAGGGCTCATCCTGACGAAGACCACAATGATGACAATCATAGCGATGGTCGTGTTCATTATGATGATGCTGACGACAACAGTTTTGATTGAAATGGTGCCGATGATGATGACTATCTCCACGATAATGACGACAATGACAATGATGACGATCATCTTGACGAAGATGACAATGGCTATAGGTGATTTATTTGAGTTTTTTCCAATGAAGATTCGTGCACAGTATTTCGTTTATAGAGGATTGGGCAAGGACATAACCCACTTTCACCCAAGCAAAGTGAGGTCATAGACTTAGACACTTCTTGATTTACCGCCTTAACTGCAAAAAATTCCAAATATATTTAAGAATGCACAATGTTAACGATAAATACCAACTACGCAGTATACAATGAAGTAGAATGAGAACAAAAATTGGTATCACATTGTTTTAAAAACTAAAAAAACTTGCCCCCTACGTGAGTTAGTAGGGCAGCGAGCCCAACCACCTTCCCTTACCCGTGCCCTGCGGGCACCAGCTGCTCCGTGGGCACCAGGCCTCGGGCTTCTTGTACACGGAGCATCGGTGCATCTGTACCTCCCCTCTTCCCGTCGCTCGTTCTGCCGTCGCACAGCTATGTGTCTGGCCATTCGGACCGGGTGCCCGAGTCCTACCTGCGGTCCTTGCTGCCCCCGCCGGCCGCCGCCGCCGCGAGGAACCTCCGCACGCCGGCGTTGCTGTGGGGCCGGGACATGGAGGCCACCGCCGTGGAGCTCTACCGGCAGACGAAGCAGCGGCAGATGAACGGTGGGGGAGCCACGCGCCTCGCCGTCCCGCTGTGACCACGACGACGATGATGGTGGCGGTGGTTATGATAATGATGTATGTATGTTAAACTTCTTTCGCACCGTACGTAGCCAACCGTACTAATCGGAGGTGCGGATGATGATGATGACGACGATGACGACGACGATGACGCTCTGTGCCGTGTCCTGTATTCGTGATGGCGCTATCAGATGTCCGATGGTGTTCGATGGTGGTGCGTGGTTTGTGTGATGGTGATGCTGTGTGGTGCATGATGGGTTGCGATGACGGTGCGTGGCCGTGTGCGATGACGGTGTGAATGTATATATTTTTTTAGCGCGCTTGTCTATAGTTTTGGGTGATGGATAAATGTCCCTTGTGCTGCGTCTCCTGTCCCCATGTCTCTCCCCCCCAACCCCCACTGCTATAGCCATCCCGGTGTGCCGTGTCCCGGTTTGCCACACCGCTTGCTCACATGCGACGATCCCTCCCCCCCGCCCCCCGTCCCCTTTCCCCCTCGTTCCGTCCCCCAGGCCGTTACGTCGTCCGCGTCAGCCCCTGCGGTCTCTACGTGGACGCCGAGCGACCCTGGCTGGCCGCTAGCCCCGACGGCCTAGTAACGCTGGAGCCCGTGGCACCGTCAGTACGGGACCTCGACCCTTCCTCGCCGTCTCCGCGATCCCCACCGCCGGCGGTGGAGGCGACGCAGCGACTGCTGCTGGAGGTCAAGTGTCCGTATAAGCACCGTGCGGGGTCGGTCAGGGAGGCGTGGGCGAGCGATCGGAAATTCTGCCTTGACGTGGTCGAGCAGGGTGGACGCACGAGCTACGAGCTCAAGAGGGAGCACAGCTACTACACACAGGTGACAAACGGTTTATGTAAGAGATGTTATTATGTAAGGTCGTTCACATCTCGCCACCGTGGCGCCCACGGTGGCGAGATGTTCACTACCTCGCCTCGTACACAGGAGGTCGTGGGATTGATGCCGACCCTGACGCCTGTCTTTGAAATTCGCATGTGTTCTCCCTGGGGTCACGTGGATTTTCCTCCGGGTCCTCCGGTTTTTCCCTCCACGTTTATAATCAACATCACGCGTTTAAGAGCATTTGGCTGCTATAAATGTCCAAGTGATAAACCACTTTGGTGAACTATCATTTGTGGCCAGGTCGCTTCCGAAAAAGAGCCATATAGCTCGGTGGGCCATTCCATGGAGCTTTTTAACAGTCCGTTAAATACCACGCAGGTGAACTTTGTCTCTGTTGTGCACTTTGCGCGCGTGTACAGGTGCAGTGTCAGCTGGCGGTGAGCCGCCTCCTCTTGGCAGACTTTGTCGTTTACACAGAAGAGGACCTGGCCATTGCGCCCGTGCCCTTTGATGCCGACTTCTGGAAGCAAACCCTGGAGCGTCTCTCCACATTCTACGACAAGGCCGTCCGCCCCCTCCTGCGGCCCACGAGGCCGCCGGTGGAGGAGTGAGCTGCGAGGAATTCCCAACGGAAGCCGTCTTCGTCTCGTCACATCTCCTCTTGTCCAAGTCGCCTCAAGCCTCCCGTACATCACGTGACTCATGCATGGCTGCCACCCCCCACTTTGAATCCCTGCCCTCTGCCCACCGCCCCCTGTGGAAACAAATGGTGCTCCGTGCAGCTCTGTTTGCGCCTGCTTTCCCATCTTTCCACCCCTCTCATTCCGCTCCACCCCTTCTTCCCGGCAGCTCTTTCGTTCTTCCTGCTGCCCTCATCTTGAGCCGTGCCCTCTTTGTCGGTCTTGGCGTCTTCCATCTCAGCGTCCCTTTCGTTCTCTCCTGGTCATCTTGCCCCCTCCGTCTGTTGCCCTTGAGTGCAATTGGCTCCAACTCCCCTTCCCGTGGTGTGGTAGTGCCCGTGGGCAAAACGGTTAATAATGGCAAAAAGCAAATGCATTACACTGTAGGGGCATATATTTTCACTCGGCCACGTGTACCGGATGTAATTGATGGAAATTTGTCAAATTCGATAACCGTTTGAAGTTTGTTTAAACAAGGTTACTCTGACTGGGTTGCTCATTGGGTTCGCACTGACGGGTTCATGAACCCACTTGCTCTACTGCCTGCAAGTGCAGGAGTTAATGACTGAGCGACTGCTGCAGATTATGCTTTTGAGAAAGCCATTTGTCGGGTAATGTTTGCACCACGTGTTTACAGCAATGGGGTTGGGTTCAGAGAGATATATATACTGCATTTCACAGGTCATGGGATTATTCAATGTATATTCTTTATGAATGTTGAATAGGGAAAACAACGTGTTTACTTTTGATTTAAAGCTTTCGTGACTGCAGTGATTCATATTCTTGGTTCTTTCGGTAAAGTCACGTTGAAGGGAAACAATAAAATAATAAAATATATAAAACAATAAAATTCTCACGACGTTTCGACTAACACAAACAGTCATCATCACACCTGATGATGACTGTTTGTGTTACAGTCGAAACGTCGTGAGAATTTTATTGTTTATATATATTTTATTATATTATTGTTTCCCTTCAACGTGACTTTACCGAAAGAACCAAGAATATAATGTGTTTACTATTAAACCTTGAAGACGTCGAATGTGGATCGTCAATTTTGAGGCATTCATGATTTTATTGTTTAAATCTAAATGGAAAATGCTCAGCCAGGGTTATCGTCAACATCACCCAGGTCGTACCCCTTTTCCACCAACCCAGTGCCATTTTAAATCAGTGCCTTAAACACTTATTTAATCCATGTTGGTCATTATAATAACAATCATGTAAACTCGTAACGTGCCACCACACAGCAATCGCTCACTCTCAGAGAGAGAGAATAACTCAAATGTGCAAGGAAAGCACAGACAAGCGGGGAAGACAGCCACATGATGAGCTGGTGCCATCAGTTTCCAAAGTTCTGCGGTTCTCCTACACATTGAGGTCTAATTAACGAGTGGTTAACATGCCAGAGGAAACTGGAGCACCCAGGAAAAAAACCCCACGCGTGCAAGGGGGGGTGGGGGGACACTCCATCCCGCACTCATTACACCCAAAGTGCTTACAGCAAATGAACCACAGTACTTCGCCGATCTCGTCAAAGAGCATAAACCGTTGATAGAATTCTGTTCCCGAACTCTGGTCATCCTCGCAGTGGCTTTTGGCTGGCCATCGAACAAAAACGATCACCATGTGGCAGGCTTTCAGATGCGCTTCTGCGGCCGTCTGGAACGCTCTCCCGATATTGGGAAGCCACTGGAGCGACGCACTTTTCAATCTGGATTGAAAACTCATTGCTTTAGAACCGCTTTGTGCGTTTACCTTGTTATCCTGCCCCCGCACCTCCGATTAGCACGGTTGGCTACGTAGGGCACGGAAGGTCAACATATATGTGTAGTATACTCATTCACAGACAGTGGGAGGTACTTTCTCTCTTTTATTCCGGCCTTCACAGCCTATAGGGGGATAACTTCCCACCGGGTCAGGACAGCCAACATGCTGCCAGACCCACAGCATGAAAAGGGTGCAGATCATACCGACGAGGGCACAGCAAGTTCCACTCCAGATCGCAGCAGCCCTGAGTGTGAGTCGGAGCTCGCCTTTTATCCTGCCCAGCGTGGCCAGGCTCCGCCCTCGGCCACCGCACCCCCTCCGGATCCCCCAGAGGGCTCCGTGCCTCGCCCACAAGTCCAACTGGTAGAACGGGCTGCTGTTACCCCTGATTCAATTGTCTACCAATCTCCCAGCGGCACGCGCTACAGTGACTCATTCCACGTCACGACATCAACATGCATCCCATAGAGACGGGAGTCCAACATGTTTTGCTCTGCTGCCGTGTCCTGGCGAGCCAGGGTTTGGCACATCAACGCTCACGGGAGGGGAGTTTCACTTGAACCAACGCCTCGTTGCCTCCACAGTGCTGGATTACACGCGTGCGTAATCACCACCAGTCCACCACCAATGTATGCTTTGGCCCCGTGGGCTATTAGGCTATTATGATGAAAAGGTATTATATGTGCGCGTGTGTGTCTGTGTGTGTGTGTGACTGCGGGGAGCGGTAGTGTAGCGGGTAGCGCGCCGCGCTACGAACCCGGCGACCCGAGTTCCGAGTCCCGATTCACGGCCACCACCACCGTCAGTGACGATTATCTGAAACCGGTCCTGGGTCTCCCCTAGGTCGACTCGGCCATCAATGTTTGTTAAACATCGGCGTTGGGGGGTGATAACCCACCCTCTCGTGTGTCGCGTCGTCCTTCATAATAGGTGCTCGCTAACCAACACTTGCCCCCCCCCCCCACCGCCTTGTTAAAGTAAGGGGGGGGGGCACCTTTGGCGAGCTGCGTGTGACGTCACACACGCGTGCTGGTTGCGTGTGACGTCACCCCGCACAGGTGAACTCGACGCTCGCTAGGTGTCCTGGGTCTGGGGGGGGGTGCAGGTAAAGAGCCCCCACCGCTAACCCCCGTCAGGCGAGACGACGCAACCCGGCTTCACACCATTGAACGGAGCGCGCGCGTGTGTGTGTGTGTGTGTCTGGTGTGCACGCGTCTATGATTAATTAAGAAACACATCACCACGGCCATTACATTACACGTGAGGTGGAGGTGAACAGCCTGCCCAGCGCACAATGGAAGTGACGGCGACCGCGATGCTGTCCGTGGCAGGTCGGTTTCAGACCACGCGTTAACTTTTACTTTCTGCCTTGCTCGCTCGCTCGCTGCTGCTGCTGCTGTTCTTCTTGCGCGTGATGTTCATGAGCTGAAGGCCAACGTCGGTGTCTGCTGCTAGCGATGGGATAGCGAGAGGCTGAGTTGGTGAAGTTTTGTTCTGATTCCTCCATCGCTGGAAGTAGGCTACGGTGGTTTACTATACATCGTCCATGACCTAACATTGTCCATAGATTAACATTGGCAGTATACTAACATTGCTCATAGATTAACATTGGCTGTATACTAACATTGCCCATAGATTAACATTGGCTGTACACTAACATTGCCCATAGCCTAACATTGGCTGTATACTAACATTGCCCATATACAAACATTGGCTGTATACTAACATTGCCCATAGACTAACATTGGCTGTATACTAACATTGCCCCTATAAACTAACATTGGCTGTATACTAACATTGTCCATAGACTAACATTGACTGTATACTAACATTGCCTATAGATTAACATTGGCTGTATACTAACATTGCCCATAGACTAACATTGGCTGTATACTAACGTTGCACATAGACTAACATTGGATATATACTAACATTGTCCATAGCCTAACATTGGCTGTACACTAATATTGTCCATAGCCTAACATTGGCTGTATACTAACATTGTCCATAGCCTAACATTGGCTGTATACTAACATTGCCCATAGACTAACATTGGCTGTATACTAACATTGCCCATATACAAACATTGGCTGTATACTAACATTGCCCATAGACTAACATTGGCTGTACACTAACATTGCCCATATACTAACATTGCCCATATACTAACATTGCCTATATACTAACATTGCCCATATACAAACATTGGCTGTATACTAACGTTGCACATAGACTAACATTGGCTGTATACTAATATTGCCCATATACTAACATTGGCTGTATACTAACATTGTGCATATACTAACATTGGCTGTACACTAACGTTGCCCATATACTAACGTTGCCCATATACTAACGTTGCCCATATACTAACATTGCCCATATACTAACATTGGCTGTATACTAACGTTGCACATAGACTAACATTGGCTGTATACTAACATTGCCCATATACTAACATTGGCTGTATACTAACGTTGCACATAAACTAACATTGGCTGTATACTAACATTGGCTGTATACTAACATTGCACATAGACTAACATTGGCCGTATAGTAACGTTGCCCATAGACTAACATTGGCTGTATACTAACATTGCCCATAGACTAACATTGGCTGTATACTAACATTGCACATAGATTAACATTGGCTGTATACTAACATTGCCCATAGACTAACATTGGCTGTATACTGACATTGCCCATAGACTAACATTGCACATAGATTAACATTGGCTGTACACTAACATTGCACATAGACTAACATTGGCTGTATACTAACATTGCACATAGACCAGTAGTGGATCTTAACCTTTACTGCAGTCTTGCACCCCCTTGGTTCTCATTCGTATAAAATGTATAATGTTAATAAATACACAGAGGTTTGATGAAACAAAGTAGTTGTACTTGCGCGCCTGTGCTCAATTTGTGTTAACTTCGAAAGCAATCTGGCCATGTCTCGCACCCTCAGCGGGTGCGTGCAACCCAGGGTGAAGAAGAACCACTGACATAGACTTACATCGCCCATAGAATTACATCGCCCCTAGACTAACATCGCCCATAGACTTACATCGCCCCTAGACTAACATCGCCCATAGACTTGCATCGCCCATAGACTAACTTTGTCCCATAGACTTGCATCGCCCATAGACGATTCTCATCTTGCGTATGATGATGGCAGTTCGTTCATGGCCTAAACGTCGCCACGATGAGAAGGCTTCACGAGAGAGAGAGTTCGTGTCGTTTTCCTGTTCCTCCTCCGCTGATGGAGCGCAGACTGCAGTGGACGACGTTTCAGGATATGGCCCTTCTTCATAGGAGAATATCCATCTGTGATGTAAAGAAGTGTTTTGAAGGGCCGTTGCCCGAAACGTCGGCTATTACATATTTATTTCTTTTTAAGGCCGTGGTGTTATTGGCGAATTCGGGCGCCACGTGGCGAGATGTTAACTACCTCGCGAGGTATACAGGAGGTCGTGGGTACGATCCAGACCCTGATCCCTCTATATTTGGAGTTTGCGTGTCCCTCTCTTTATCGGTGGAGGCGTGGATTTTTCTCCGGGTCCTCCGGGTTTTCCCTCCACATTTAGAATCAACAACAACAACACGCGTTTAGAGTAATTTGGCTGCTATAAACTTCCACGTGATGATGAGCCACTTGGTTGAGCTATCATTTGTGAACAGGTCGCTTCTGAAGAAAGATAACAGCTGTATAGCTCAGTGGGCCTTACCTGGTAAAATAAAATTTTTTGTGAGGTTGTTTTGTTAATTGTGCTTGAGCGCAACTGCTGAGTAGCAACACACACGGTGCAAGTTTAACACGTAGGCTTTCACGACCAATATCATCCATAATACAGGATTATTTTGAGTTAGATCGCGTAAAATATATAAACGACACATATATTTTGCGCGATCTAACGGTGCGTTCTAACGGGTAAAAAGTGCTTTGCCTGGGCTTTAGCGTCACACTCCGCGGGGAGACAAATTGATGGGGATATGTAATTGATTATTAACGAGGCTTAATGCAATGCCATAACTTGAGGCCGTCCCTGCCACTGTGATGAAACGCATCAAACCTTTTTATTATTACACGCTTTATCATTTAACTCTGTCTGTTGTTGTATCCTCCAATCTTGTAACTAAATTTTAACCCACTTACCAATATGGTATCGACTGCAAACTTGGTATACTTATGTCATACTGATGACAATACGATATATTCTATCATAAGAAATATATATTTTTAAACGTAATTTTTTATATGTTAGATGTTTCGGCTTGGGTCTTATTGTCCACGCTCAACTGACGTTGGCTGTAAATCACCACGGGCCCCTTACGCTGTGGCAAGCTTCGGGCCCACTTCCTGGAGTCGTGGAGTTCTGACATTACTAGTACGGTACATTTCATTAAAGCGTGTTTTTTAAAAAGTATTTTTTTAAATGTTACTTATTTTGTCGTCGGACCTTTAACTATACAATTAGGTCGTGCCGCCAAATATGAACATCCACAGCAACGCAACTGCCCAGCACTCACTGGGACGTTCCGATTTTGCAATGGCAATGCAGGGGTGGGTGGGGGGGGGGCAGCAGCAGCCCCCCACTGCTCCACCAACGTGGGGCCCCCACCACCCCCCCCCCTCGTGATCTCACTCGCAGCCCTCGGTTGACCCCGAGTGATGACCTGTGGGCAGCCGTGTGTACCTGCGTGTGCCCACCCGCCCTGGCCGTCGGGACACCGCGCCCGGGCTCGCCTCGCATCGTGGGGGGCTACGAGGTGCCTCCCTACTCCATCAAGTACCAGGCGTCGCTGCAGCGGCCCCGAGGCTCCCACTTCTGTGGGGGCTCCTTGGTGGGACGGCAGTGGGTGGTGACGGCGGCGCATTGCAACCTGCGGTACGTGCTGCCTCGTTCACTCACTCGCGTGCCCACACCCCTGTCATCCACACCCCACAACTCTCACTCACTCACTCGCCCCCCACACACAACTCTCACTCACTCACTCGCCCCCCCCACAACTCTCACTCACTCGCCCCCCCCCACAACTCTCACTCGCTAGCCCCCCCCAACTCTCACTCACTCACTCACTCGCCCCCCCCCCACAACTCTTACTCACTCACTCGCCCCCCACCCCACAACTCTCACTCAATCGCCCCCCCCACAACTCTCACTCACTCGCTCCCCCCCCCACAACTCTCACTCACTCGCCCCCCCCCCACAACTCTCACTCACTCACTCGCCCCCCCCACAACTCTCACTCACTCACTCGCCCCCCCCCCACAACTCTCACTCACTCACTCACTCACTCGCCCCCCCCCCCACAACTCTCCCTCACTCGCCCCCCCCACAACTCTCACTCACTCGCCCCCCCCACACCTCTCGCTCACTCACTCGCCCCCCCCCACAACTCTCACTCTCCTCCACCTAACCGACTCCCTTCTCACTCAGCCCACCCACTCCCTCTCTCCCCATCTTTCATTCTCTACCAGAGTCATTGCCTTTCATCTGTAATTAAGGCCCCGTCGCTCGGGTCTTCGATTGGAGACCCTGCAGCCCTCCCAGGCCCTCTCGTGCTCCATGGACCCATTGTGCGCCAGCTACATTGATCGCAGGGACTCTTTCAATGCAAGCGCTCCTGCCTCTCTCAATGCTCCCCCCGCGATGCTGAACAAAGACAAAATATCCCCCTGTATAGCCTTTAAAAGACGGTAGGGGCAAATGTTGTTTGCGAGCTGCGCAGTGCTGGATTAAGCTAGTGCAGGGTAGCGTATGTTATAAATGGGCCCTAAATAGAAAAAAAACATAAATTTTAAAACGCAAATTTGTTTACTTGCATCGTAAAGTAATTGTATTATTTCATTTGCTATACAGCCAGATAATACGACAAATCGATAACCTTAAACACCCAGTCGTTCATAAAAGTTTAAAGGCGGTATAGTACTATAGTGATAGAGCAAGTGCAGAATCGCTGAACCAGAATTGATAGCTTGAAAGCGTTTAGCGCGGGGCCCTTGAAAGTGCGGGGCCCGTAGCTACTACACCACGTGTGGGTAATGCTACACGAGTGCAGCTACTACTACACGTGTCGCTACTTTTGCTGCTAGGATAATCCGGCATTGGAGCTGCGCCTGTGAAGGCCGGCACGGCGCACGATGGGGCGGATCGCCAGCACCACGCCCGGCCGCCTTTGCCTCCCTAGTGACGAAGTTTGCACACCGCAATAGGTACTCATTTGAGGCTGAGTCAATCTAGGGGAGGCCCTGGATCGGTTCAAATAATCGTGACTGGTGTTGGCCGTGAGCGGGAGTCGAACTCGTGACGCCGGGTTCGTAGCGCAGAGTGCTCACAGCTGACCCCCACCCCCCGCACCCATCTCAATTCGTGCGATGGTACAGGCTGCCCATCATACGCGTGGTGCTTGGGGAAAGTTCCATTTCCAAATTGGAGGGGCGCGAGCAGTTCTTCCGCGCGGTGCGGACCATCCCGCACCCCTTCTACAACTCGCGCACAGAGGACAACGACATCATGCTCCTCAAGGTGGCGTCCTCCACCTCGTCAACCAAGCCGGCTTCAACATCGTCAACGACATCGTCATCAGCTTCATCTTTCACACCGGCGTCTGTTTCACCGCTCACTTAATCACTGCACATCTCACTCGCCCCCACACCTCACCCCACCTGTCACCCCGCGTCTCACCCCGCGTCTCACCCCGCACGTCACCCCGCACGTCACCCCACACGTCACCCCGCACGTCACCCCCACCGCCACTCCACCCTTTCCCCCCGCGCCACCGCCGTCACCACCTCTGCCCCCCCCCCCCCACTCAATCCCTCTCCCCCCCCACCCACCCTTCCGAAGCTCAACCGCCCGGCCACCCTCAACGCCTTCGTGGGCACCGTAGGGCTCGCGGAGCCGGGCTCGTGGCCCGGCCCCGGCACGCTGTGCCGCGTCTCCGGCTGGGGCCTCACGTCCAGCCTGGGCCGAGCCACCGCCGACCGTCTCCGCGCCGTCCGTGTCCCGCTCGTGCCCAGCGCTCAGTGCAACTCCACGCTCGCCTACAACGGCCTCATCACCCACAGCATGGTGTGTGCCGGCTACAGGTCCGGCGGCAAGGACTCGTGCCAGGTGCGGTTGCACCGACAGGCACCGCCACGGTTGCTGTTGTTGCTGCTGCTGTGCCCCGCGACCCCCCCCCCCCTCACCACCCCCCCATTCCCTTCTGGCAGGGAGATTCCGGGGGTCCTCTGGTGTGCGGCGGCCGCCTGTTTGGGGTCGTGTCGTGGGGGAACAGCTGCGCAGATTCACGCTACCCCGGCGTCTACAGCAGCATCGCCCGCTTCCGCTACTGGATCGAGATGACCATCGTACGCGACGCGCGACGCCGCTCCCGCTGGTGACGCTGGAGACGGTGGCAGAGAGGCCGGCGGGGGCGTGGAGGTAGTACGGGGTGGGGGGGGGAGAAACAAAGAGGGATGGGATCTGGTCTGGGCTTCCTCTCTTCCTTCCTCTTTCCGCCTACTCCACCCCCGCTGCTCATTTTATTTCTCCTCCTTCTCCGACTCGTACTGCTTGCACCGCATACTCCAGATTCTACTCCTCATCCCCCTTGCACCACCACCACCCTCTTTTCTCCTCCTCTTATTACACATCTTCCTTCCTCATCTTCCTCTTTCTAGTCATCCTCCTCTCTTCTTTTATTCTGCGTCTAATCCTCCTCCATACCCCCCCCGCCCCCATCCACCTCCTATTCCTTATTCTACTTCTAAATCTCCCTCTTTCCTCTTTCCTCCTCGCTCCTCCTCCCGACTCTACTCCTCGTTCATATCACTTTGGTTCAATAACAGTTTGATTTGTGACCATCACGAATGTCTTCCGACCGATGTTCCATCTGCTCTGGCCCGTCTCGTTGCTTCTACAACTCCGGGAGACCGTTGCCCATAGCTGTCAAGCTAGACGGTTTAGCCGTATTCATGTACAGGGAAATTGAGTTTTCAGGTCCATACGGTGTACAGCCGTTTTAATACGGGCAACAACATTTTTTTTGTCTGTTTGTTTGTGTTTCTCCCTTGCGATGGGACTTTGTAGGATGAACGTTGAGATTTATAAGGGCACGGGGTGACCAATAAGGTCTGAATTGGTCCATGATAAGGGTAGGGCACTGATGAAGGGTTGACAGGTGTGGTTGCTCTTCTCACGTTCTTCCTCTGGCGAACTGCTGGGCACCCTCTCTCGTCATCTATTCCCCCACCCCCCCCACCACCCCTGCACGGTGACATCATTCGTGAACCTTCTCATCACATCCTCCAGATTAGGTGCGAAGGCAGTCAGCCCGTTGTCTCGCACATCCGTTCGCTCGGCATCTTACGGGATCCGTCGCCAATCGCGTTCCCTTGTCTCTTTGCCTGGTGATGCCGAGCCATTTGCCAAACACACCGCGACTCGAACACCGCAGGCTGCTCTGACTTAGATGCACACATCTGGTTGTAGTGTTCAGTAAACGTGGAACGTTGGGCCAACGTTAGGCCAACGGTTCCAACGGCGTGCCAATGTTCGCCCGACGTTGCGCGTTTATTGGGTGGTGGTAAGTGTTTTTATTGTTTCTGGAAGAGCCTCGAGGAGAAGGATTCAGTCTCCTGGCTCCACCAAATGGCGTTTGGCCAGGAGATGTCACAGACGCCTGAGCCTCCGGCACAAGCTTATGAAATAAATGTTTCATTCGTGGTTTAGTGGTGATCAATTGAAGGTGAAGGGGTTACCAGCCCCTCGCACCCCTCCAGAGCCCCCATTTGGCCGCTGTGGTGGTTACAAATGCCATGAGGGGGAAAGGCCAATTTAAATTGGCCCTCCCCCCACGGCACTGCCCACCACAGCGTTGCCGTCCTTGAGGTTGAGATGCACATCGCTCTAGCGATGCAGGAAGGCGGCGCCGTCCAGGATCTGGGTCATGAGGCGCATTACGTCGCGCTCCGTGAACGCCTCTTCTCTCTCCGCCACGCACTGGTTGAAGATCTCCCCTTTCGCCACACTGCCCAGTTCGTTGCTCCCCACCAGCGTGAACCCAGAGCGGAAGGGCTCCGTGTGGATGCGGGATCGAGCCTCCGCCACCAGCCCGAGGCGGACCGGCCCCTGCCCGGTCAGCATCCCGCTCTGCACCTCCTCCCTTGCTGCCGATCTCTGTGCTGCCGCTGCTGTCGCCATCACATTTGCTATTTGCTGCGCTGTGGACACTTTTCTAGACGCCGCCGCCGCTGCTGCTGCTACTACAGGTGGTAGTGGTGCCGCCGATAGCGGGATTTCCTCCTCCACCTCCTCCTCCCTCCTCCTCCCTCCTCCTCCCTCCTCTTGGGCGCACGAAGCAGGCACTCGCACGGCACCGACGCAGAGCTCGCAACACGGAGAGGGCTCACTGTGAACACCGGGACTCCCACATTTACGGGGAAGTCACAACGCTAAGAAGTCTCAGAGAACGAAGCACCAGAGGTGACTCTCACACCTGCGCCCATTGCTTCACGTGGCCTCACAGTGCACATAGCCTGGCACAAGCGTCGTGGTGACGTCACCGCCACTTAGTGGCGAATGGCAGTTGTTGTTGTTGGTTAGTGGTTGCCGTTGTGTTGGTGTAGTGGTGGTTGTGGTAGTGGTGGTGATAGTAGTGGTCTTGATTGTGGTAGTGGTCATGATTTTGGTGGTGGCAATTATGGTGGTAATTGTAATTGTGGTGGTGGTCGTGGTCTTAGTTGTGTAGTTGGTGGTGGTCGTGATCAATGATTGCAATGTGTGTGGTCGTGGTGGTTTTTGGGAGTGATGGGGTTGGTCAAGGTCATTATTGTGGTGGTGGTGGTGGAGGAGGTGGTGGTGGTGTTTGTCATATGATATTTGTTGCAGTGACGATGCCTAAGGGTACAAAGAAGGTTGTGATGTGACATGTGCAAATGTATGCCGCCTATGACTGAATGTTAGATGGTGGTGGTCGTGATGGTGGTGATTGTAAAGATTATGATGGTAGATGGTGGTGGGTTTGGTAGTGGTGGTTGTGATGGTAATGTAGTCGGTCAAAATGAGTCGCAGACGTTGTTCCTTTTAGAGGCAACACATTTATTGTAACACAAAGGGATAACTGCCCCTTTACCAGACACAGCCTAGGGTGGTGACCACCCAGCTAACTACACTGTACAGAGGAGTTACTGCTACGAAGGGTCGGACCCTCACTCGGGTCTCCGACCACGTGGTTGCCTCGTAGGACGAAGAGCTTCAGCTTGAGACGTAGAGCTTCCAGCTTGTAGATGTTGAGCTTCCTGATTGTAGATGTTGAGCTTCCAGCTTGTAGATGTTGAGCTTCCAGCTTGTAGATGTTGAGCTTCCAGCTTGTAGATGTTGAGCTTCCCGCTTGTAGATGTTGAGCTTCCCACTTCCAGATGTTGAGCTTCCAGCTTATAGGTGTAGAGCTTCCAGCTTATAGGTGTAGAGCTTCCAGCTTCCAGATGTTGAGCTTCCCACTTGCAGGTGTAGAGCTTCCCGCTTCCAGGTGTAGAGCTTCCCGCTTCCAGGTGTAGAGCTTCCCGCTTCCAGGTGTTGAGCTTCCCGCTTGTAGATGTTGAGCTTCCCGCTTCCAGGTGTAGAGCTTCCCGCTTCCAGGTGTTGAGCTTCCAGCTTGTAGAATGCAGCAACCCCGGTCCCTCTCAGGAACCCGCCTTACATCCCCCTACGGTCGAGGCCGCTCCGCCCTCGGCCCCGCCCGCCTTCTCGAGCATTCTCGTTCCCTCTCGATCCTTCTCAAGAGCTCTCCTCGGACACGTGATCACCCACTAGCCCCCCCACCTGGTGCCCCTTGTGTGGACACTCCGGATCACGTGTCTACGGGGTCAACCAGAGTGCCATGGCCTGGGGCAACCTTGCCCCTGGGCTGACGCTCACCCACTCCCCCTCGTGGGAGCACCCCACCACACGCTGCGCGTGGTGCCCGCACTATCCCGGTGCTCGCCAAGCCCCGCTAGGGCTGTATTACACACAGCCACCCACACGGTGCTGTCCACGCTAGGGCTGGTGTTACACACAGCCACCCACATGGTGCTGTCCATGCTTGGGCTGGTGTTACACACAGCCACCCACACGGTGCTGTCCATGCTAGGGCTGGTGTCACACACAGCCACCCACACGGTGCTGTCCACGCTAGGGCTGGTACTACACACAGCCACCCACACGGTGCTGTCCACGCTAGGGCTGTATTACACACAGCCACCCACACGGTGCTGTCCACGCTAGGGCTGTATTACACACAGCCACCCCACACGGTGCTGTCCCCGCTAGGGCTGGTGTCACACACAGCCACCCACACGGTACTGTCCACGCTAGGGCTGGTGTTACACACAGCCACCCACACGGTGCTGTCCACGCTAGGGCTGGTGTTACAGCCACTCACACGATGCTGTCCACGATGTAGGAACATCGAATGGCACGGCCCTTCCAGGCCGGCACCATACAGTCACATCCGCGATGTTATTAGAGTAATGGTAGTGTATACTCTTTGGTTCTTTCGGTAAAGTCACATAGGTAGAAGAAACAAAAAAATAGATCACGACGTTTCGATCTCAACACAAGCGACCGTCAACAGGTGAGACGATCACTGCAGGGAAACTGCTGAAACAGGCGAGAGAGCTGCCGTGACAAGTGGCTATATAGGGAGGGTTTGTGGGCGGGGCTAGAGATGGGGGGGCGGTGGTCGGGCAGAGCAAGATCTGCGGCGGGGACGGGGGGGGGGGCGTAGTGGTTTTTGTAGTGGTTTTTGTAGTGGTTTTTGAAGTGGTTTTGGTGTTGGGAGGGGTGACGCAGCGGTTTGTAAGCTGCACTGCGAACCCGGCTACCAGAGTTCAAATCACGCTCATGGCCAACACCAGCGACGATTATTGAAACCGGTCCTGGGCATCTCCTAGGTCGACTCGGCCTCAAATAAGTACCTGGTACAGTGCATAAACATTGCCACTATGGGAGACAAAGGCGGCTGGACGTGGTGCTGGCCATCATAGGTGCTATTCGCGAACAGCACTTGCCCCAACAGTCTGTTAAGGCTATACGGGGATCTTTGTGACTTTGGTGGTTTTGGTGACTTGGAGACCGGGATTGGTGGCTCGCACAGCGATGGGGCCATTGGGGGTGCGTGATGCCCTCCCACAGCACAACTCGGTGGTGGTGCTATTACAATGGCTGTACAGCAAGTGGGTTGCCGATGTGGTCATTTTACATCGATTTTTATTAAGTGTTACACCCCTCGTATGAGTGGTGGGTTTTGATTTTGCATTACTCTCGTTTTTTGCCTGCATGGAAAAGCACTCATTAAGGAAGCATTCTCCAAACATCGCGATGCAGGACCCTCCTGAGATAGCCTTCAGACTCGGTGAAGTTTTATTTCTCTCTCGGTAAATGAATGAGCGAAAGGGATATATGTACAGTGAGGGGATAAACAGTATTTGATCCCCTGCTGATTTTGTACGTTTGCCCACTGTCAAATAAATGATCTGTCTATAATTTTAATGGTAGGTTTATTTGAACAGTGAGAGACCAGAATAACAACAACAAAATCTAGAAAAACGCATGTCAAAAATGTTATAAATTGATTTGCATTTTAATGAGGCAAATAAGTATTTGACCCATCTGCAAAGCAAGACTTAGTACTTGGTGGCAAAACCCTTGTTGGGAATCACAGAGGTCAGATGTTTCTTGTAGTTGGCCACCAGGTTTGCACACATCTCGGGAGGGATTTTGTCCCACTCCTCTTTACAGATCTTCTCCAAGTCATTAAGGTTTCGAGGCTGACGTTTGGCAACTCGAACCTTCAGCTCCCTTCACATATTTTCTATGGGATTAAGGTCTGGAAACTGGCTAGGCCACTCCAGGACCTTAATGTGCTTCTTCTTGAGCCACTCCTTTGTTGCCTTGGCCGTGTATTTTGGGTCATTGTCATGCTGGAATACCCATCCACGACCCATTTTCAATGCCCTGGCTGAGGGAAGGAGGTTCTCAACCAAGATTTGATGGTACATGGCCCCGTCCATCGTCCCTTTGATGCGGTGAAGTTATCCTGTCCCCTTAGCAGAAAAAACACCCCCAAAGCATTTCTAGATTTAAAGCTTTCGTGACTGCAAGGATCCATACTCTTTGGTTCTATTGGGTAAAGTCACGTAGGTAAATTCTCCTGTTTGATTTGTACTAGGTGCCTCGGTGAATGTATATGCTCTGACTTTAACATAGCTATTTCTGTGACCAGTTACAAGCTAATCACTCAGCTATTTCAATGCTAAATTCTATGCTAATTCCTTTGTCAAGGGGTGCCTTTGCGGATGTGTATGCTTTAACTTTAACATAACCATTTCTGTGACCAGTCACAAGCTAATCACTCAGCCATTTCAATGCTAAATTCTATGCTAATTCCTTTGTCAAGGCGCTTTGTTTCTTCTCACACAGCTTAAAGGTCGTGATCTGAGCGTGGCTTTTTTCACTCCAGCACTGTCCTCCAGACAGTCTCGTCCCTTCACCTGATGAAGGCCGCTTGTGTTGTGGCTGAAACGTCGTGATTTTTGTTATTTTATTTTTTACCTACGTGACTTTACCCAATAGAACCAAAGAGTACCCCCAAAGCATAATGTTTCCACCTCCATGTTTG